TCATTTCTCTTATATTTTAAATTAGGTATATTTGTTGAGGAGCTTAAGATGGAGGAGATAAGTAATCAATCATTTTCAGTGACGGCGTCCAACAACAATAGCAAGCCCACTTATCCAGAAAACTACGAGGCGTGCATGGATATCCTCCTTTTGATTAAGAAGGGATATGAATTTGGCAAGTATAAATAAAATGATTTCCCTTTTACTAACCTTTATGTAACTATTATTATAGACGTATTTCTATGGTCGGGCCAAGTGGTATCCAAGTAAGATAAAGCCCTCTCATTAGTGACTCAAGTTTAAACGTGTCACTTGTAGATAAAATTCGACTCCAGATGATGCAGTTCACTTGTACTGATCTAACTACCTGCATATAATTATGCAATAATAAGAACCAACATTAGGTTATTATTCTGCTAATAAAGTCTTTAATGCTGTATAACTGACGAAGGTAGCCACTTTTGTCATCTCAGCAAAGAAGTTGTCATTAGAAGGAACGAAGCTTTTCTCAAAAACGAAGAAATCTCCAACAGAAAGCCCGCGAGGGGATGCAGAGAACCAACAAGGTGAGATTAAAATAATCCTATTGTTTTTCCTAATTAATCTTGTTTAACATATGATTGTTATTATTATAACTCTAAAAGAGTGATATTCGGATATCTTGTTTATAAAATGGAGTAGCAACCAGAAGCCGAAGCCATGAATTAGTTCCTTCAAATTACGACACGTGCTTTGACATCCTCAAATTTGTGTCCAAGGCAATGTTAGTCGTACTTGGATTTGGTCTGTTTTTCTTCCCTTCATTTGCATATTAAATTCTTAACAATATAAACATTAATATGCATGGTTAACTAATTAATTGATTATCAGGTTCATCGGATATAAGAAAATTGGAGGATAAAAAAAAGAAGCATATAATTGATTATCAGTTTCAATCGGATATAAGAAAATGGAGGATAAAAAAACAAAGTAAGCCATACAGTGGTCTGCCCAAAATCAATGGAAGGAACTTCTCCAACGCGCTAGCAATGTAAATTAAATACAGCGTTGCATCCGGTAAAAGTCCCCATTCTGGAGAATAGTAACTAGATGATGAAACTTGGACGAAAACAAATCAAACGAAAATCGCCAAAACCAATAGAAGATGATCTTTCGAAAGACCGAGGATTAATTTCTTATTAATTATTATGTGATTATTAGGAAATAATGGTCAATTTGGTCTCTAAATCTTTTTAGTGGGATAAAAAAGGTTCAAATTTCGCCTTTGGACCAATTTAAACCCTTGAATTTAATCATATAAATATTAAAAAGAAATCAATTTCACTTTTTCAATCCAATTTAGACCAATTGAAGACTTGTTTTGATTTTATAAGTAACAATTGATCTGAATTAGACATGATTAACTTTTTATCCATTTTTATCCCTACAACTAAAAAATATCATCAAACTCTTTGCAACACTTATGAAATATTAAAGTTAAAATTCATAAAAAATATCATGTTGTTATAGTAATAATAAAGTTGCGAGAAATATGCTATTATAACTTGAGATTTATTCAAAAAAAAAAAATGCAATAGATTTATAAGCCATTAAATCCAAATAGATAGATCTGAATTTTAAAAATTCAAATTAATATATATATAAACTCAAATCGCATCAATCAAAGTAAAGAGAAAAACAATATAGCCTCATATATCAATTTTCCTACATTTTATAATTAAATTAATTTTTTGATAAAATCAATTAGTCCTCGATATCGCCAACTATTGGTATTAATAATTGTTATATAAGATTTTTACATTGTAAGGTACAAACCAAGAAAATAGAGGTTTAGTAATAAGATGGTAAGAGACGATGGTGTCAAATAATGATTTGTTTTTAAATTATCTAATGATTCACACGAAGGAGTACTATTGATAAAATTAGAGTAAATTTGACTCAAAATAGCCAAAATATTGATTTTTTTAATCAATTTTATGATAAGTAAAGGGTTAATATTGACCTAAAAAAGTGAGTATAGAAAGTGGGATCTTTTTAATCATTTTATACAAGTTTAGGGACTAAATTGGCTCAAAATGTGAAATATGATCTTTTTGACCTGTTAAACAAGTCCGGGGATTAAATTGACATTTATTTCTTATTATTATTATGTCTAAAATTAGCGTTTAGTGTAACTTAGAATCATCTAATAAACCAATTTAGTTAAAACTGCAATGTGTCATTGACAGTAAATACCAAGCAAAAAGACCTAACGGGAAAGAAAGAGACACCTATATTGTTTCCAGTAAAGGAAGGTGTTGATAAGTTGTTGTGCAAACTCGTAGAATATTTTCCTGTGGGAGATAAAAACTTGGACATGAAAAATGTAATACTTATGGCAGCAGAGAAGAAGGAGACTTCTGAAGTGGCGGTGAAAGAGACAGCCATATTAATAGCAGCAAAAAATGGCATCGAAGAAATGGTAGACAAAATTTTGGAAAAGTTTCCTGTAGCAATTCATGACGTGAACTCAGAAAACAAGAATGTAGTGTTATTAGCAGTGGAAAATAGGCAACCTCATGTCTATAAACTTTTGCTGAAGAGGAAAGTAATGAGAGACAGTATCTTTCGTAAGTTAGATTATAAAGGAAATAGCGCTCTTCACCTTGCTGCCATGCTTGGAGACTCTACGCCATGGCGTATTCCAGGCGCTGCTTTACAAATGCAATGGGAGGTCAAGTGGTATGAGGTATGTCTAATAATCCTAATCATAGATAGAGATCACATAATAACATGTCGTTGCACAAGCATTCTTCTAATTAAGATAGCTTATGATCGATGTTGAAAAAACTGCAGTTTGTTAAGCAGTCCATGCCACCCCATTTCTTCACCCGCCACAACAAGGACAACAAAACCGCAAAAGCCATATTCAGTGAAACACACAAGGACCTCGTGAAAAGCGGGGGCGAATGGTTAATAAACACCTCCCAATCATGCTCTGTTGTGGCTGCACTAATAGCAACGGTTGCCTTCGCCACAGCAGCCACCGTCCCAGGCGGAGTCGATGAAAAAAAAGGCACGCCAACGCTGGAAAGACACCCTGCATTCAACGCCTTCGCTATTTCATCTGTGGTGGCTCTTTGTTTCTCTGTAACATCAGTCGTCATGTTTCTTGCAATACTGACTTCACGATACAAAGAGAAGGATTTTGGAAGAAGCTTACCGAAAAAGCTTTTGTTAGGTTTAACGTCGTTGTTTGTGTCCATCGCGGCCATGTTGGTGTCGTTTTGTGCAGGACATTTCTTTGTTCTTAGAGATGAATTGAAATATGCAGCGTTTCCAATTTATGCAGTAACGTGCTTGCCGGTTACCCTTTTCGCCATAGCACAGTTTCCTTTATACGTTGATCTCATGTGGGCTAGCTTTAAGAAAGTGCCACAGCGTAGCTACTCGGTGGTTCGTTAATTTTTATTTTTATCTTTGTAGAGATGAGCTTGTGATTGTCTGAATTTTTTGTCATGCGTTATTGGAATCAAATTTCTTTCTTCGTATTGCATTAATTTTTTTGAATAATTCTTTTGATAAATAAATGCAAACTGCCCTTATGCAATTAAATTAGATATGAAATTTGAATTAATTGTTCGGACATTAATAACAGCATAGAAGAAAGATTCACATAAAATTACGATATGTGGTTATTTAGCGCAGACCGGACATATGGAAAAAACTCTCGAGTTTGATCCTACTAAACGCACGTGGAAAGAGCTCTCGGATTTAATCTCTACTAAATGCACCTACAGGGAGGGGCGAAGAGTTTCAACTGTGATTAAACTCCAAGCCGGATTAAACAGTTTTTGTTAATATAGTCCGAATACGGATGATTTATATATAAAAAAAAGATTCATATGAAATTGAAAAAAAAAAAAAAAAAAAAACTCTGAGTTTGATCCTACTAAACGCATGTGGAAAGAGCTCTCGGATTTAATTTTCACTAAATGCACCTAACGAAGAGCTTCAACTGTGACTAAACTCCAAGTCGGATTAAACAGTTTTGGTTAATATGATCCGGATACAGATGATTTATATAAAAAAAGATTCATATGAAATTGAAAAAAAAAAAAAAGAAAAGAAAATCAGAGGATATCTATCCATATCCTAGCAAGAATAAATAAGTAATTAAATCCTTCTTTTCAAAAACAAAAATAAAACAAAAATAATTTAAGTTGTTTGTTGGGTAGCATGATTATGAAATGATTTTGGAAAACACTTGTGTAGATCAGGTCTTTGACCTCATCTATGAACTAAACGAATGAAATCTAGGAGCTTTTTAAAAAATGTTTTGACTTTGTTCTTTTTTTTTTTCTAAATATATCGTCAGAAATACCCTCATTTTAATAAGAAATATTTTATGCTTTAGAGTTTTAGAAGCATTGCAAACTTTTTTATGGCTATGGAAAATAACTAATCTTTAAAAAATATTTTTAATGGAAAAATATTTTTTCTGGAAAATTTTTATAAACAACTCTTTTGTTTTGTTTGATTGCAACATAAAAAATAATTAAATAATTATTATTTTCAATATTTTAAGACTATGAAAATATTTAAAATTCTATAAAATTGATTATTAAACTAGTAAATATATATCTACGTTTGTTAATGTCTAAAACATAAATATTTTTATTTTTTTTAAAAAGGAAAAATCATCTTATTTTAGAATGACTTAATTTTCTTTCTAACTATAGGAAAATAAAACCTATGCAAATACTTGACACCTTAAATAGAATAGCCAATTGCTTTGACAACTGAGAAAAGGCTTCTGTGTAAGTTAAGGCTTAAATCTAAGCTTTCACTTTAGTTTTATTACACAGTAAAAAGTCATATTATATACCCTGTGCCTCTTACTTTTAAAAGTAAAATACTCAGAAAACATAAGCTCATCATAAATCAATTTTGAAAAAGCAAAAGTAAAAATTCTAGTGCAGAATTAAGAAATTAAATAGTACTAATATCTTATAAAAAAATCATTTAATCAAAAAACAAGATTTTTTTTTTTTTTGGAACTAGGTGCATTATAAGTAGTCTGGAAAGGTTAAATCTTTGTCTAAACATTTTTTGTTGGTAATAAAGGTCAAAGCAATTACGTGGCGTCCTGGGGTTGCAGCCCCAACAAAGTAATAAATAAATAAATGAACAAGCCTTTAGAAAAATACAAAGGCGAGAGCCGCAGTGTCCCAAAATGCCCCTCAAGTCTCAACTCAACCTCTACGCACTCACTCTCTCGCCCACTCCCATTAACAAAACGCTCAAAAAGTACACTCTTATTTACCGCAAAATCGCCAAAAATTGGTGGAAACTCCTCGCCCACTCCCATTTAACAAAACTCAAAAATAGTAGTAGGCTCTTTATTTATGCCGTAAAATCGCCCAAAATTCGTGGTTAAACTGTGAAATAATCTCATAAGAATCATCCTGCTTCTCGAGCTTGGCCGCAAAATCGCCAAAAATTGGTGGAAACTGTGAAAAATCTCAGTAATCATCCTTGCTTCTCGAGCTTGGCATCCCCGATTACTGGCCGGAATACAACACCATGCAACCGGCGGAGACCATTTCCCGGCCTCCTCTCGACAAACCGCTCCAACAACTCACTGAAGACGACATTTCTCAGCTCACTCGCGAAGATTGCCGACGATACCTCAAAGAGAAAGGTCTCTCTATGTATATATGCGTGTATTTATTGGTATTTGAATATGTGAAAATACAGTGAGTGAATGGTGTGTTGCTGCAGGTATGAGACGGCCGTCGTGGAACAAATCGCAAGCAATTCAGCAAGTGATCTCTCTCAAAACGCTTCTTGAAACGACGCCGGATTGGAATGGCAACGAACCTCGAAGAAGACTCTACATTCCCCGCCCGGATAATCCTAATCGCGTGCGTTTTCCAACCATTAACCACCCTCTTACTATTAATTTATTTTTAGCTATTATATATTATTACAAACATATTTATATATATATTTTTTGATTTCTATAATGCAACAATGTTTTTATTTACTAATTGATGTTGTATTTTACAGGCCCCTGCAACTTCCCCTGTTTCCTTGAAGGAAACGAGCGCCGACACTCGGATCACCCCGTCGCCTGAGGAACTGGTTCCGTACAGGCGACTTGATCCTCCAAAGCATGATGTTCCCGGTGATCCTTCGGTCCATCACTTAGCCAAGGAGAACGACTCGGTTTCCCCTAGGTTGTGCCTTGATTTCTTTCTTAGTTAATGTTATTGGATTGGCGGCCTTATTATCATCAATATTTATTTAATATTGTGCATTTAAAGGAGGTGCTTGCAGATGTATCAGCCATTTTTTTTTTTTTTAAGGAAAAATTGTGTGTGTGGGGAAGCAGAGAGCATGGAGTAGCCCAGCTTTTGTAAGATTATTTAGGCCATTTAGTTTTCCTCCCTTATTTTGGCCCTTAGTCATCTCTTTATGGATAGACTTAGTTGACTTGAGTCAAGTTTGTAATGAGGACGATTGCGTCAGCGTTTTAATAATACCCTTGTGTCTGGAATTTGAACGGCATGTTCTTGCTGGGGTGTTCAAACTTCAAAGGAAAGAGGTTTGGGTTTGGGTAGCAGCTACTGTTGTCTTGGTCAACAAAGACGGTCTTTGACTTGTCTAGGATTGCAGTTGATATACCCTTGGCGATATTTGAGAAAGGTCTTTATCTTTATTATCTCCTCCTTTTTCTTTTTCTGACTATAATTAATTATACTTACAAATGTACATGGTTGTACAAAAACTCCTGCATTGCATTATTCTACTTTCTGAATGGAGCATGTAATGTCTAGATCTAGAAAAATCCTACACTTTCATTTTATTCTATTCTATAGCACTAGAAAACACGTGTACGTAGAGCAAGAGAACACGCAAAAAGGTAAATTTTTCTTTTTATTTAGAATAAAATGGGGATTTTTGGTTTGTCGTTTTTGTGAAATGGGCATCTTCTTTCTTACGAATAAAAAAAGATTATTGCTTTATTAGAACTTAGCATCAATCCTCTGAGTGACTCTCTTTTTTAACAAGTTCTTTATCCAAAAAATAAAATTCTCTCATTGCAGTCAAAGTTTTGGTTTCTGCTAAACCCAGAATTAGCCATGGACAAATAAGCCGTTGGGTTTACTTGGAAAAGGCTGAAAACCTGAGTCTGGGCTCGGTTGGCCTTCAAATAAAGTTCAGAGCTTAGTACATATTTGGATAATGGGAGTCCCAAATTTCTAGCCCACTACTCTTTGTTATTGTCAATGACTTTTTTTTTTTTTTTTTCTCAGCACATGATTAATTTTATTGAATTAAATTATTATAAATTTCATGTAGAAATTCTTAATGTAAATTATTTACTATGAGTTAGAATTAATATTATTTTAATATTTCAAGTTATTTTAGTTCTAGCCCACTACTACTTTTGTTATTGTCAATGACATTTTTTTTTTTTTTTTCATCAGAGCACATGAATAATTTTTATTTGTGAAATTAAATTTTATTATAAATTTTTTTTTTTTTTTTTCTCAGCACATGATTAATTTTATTGAATTAAATTATTATAAATTTCATGTAGAAATTCTTAATGTAAATTATTTACTATGAGTTAGAATTAATATTATTTTAATATTTCAAGTTATTTTAGAATTATCATATTAACTGTTTATTTATAATTTCATCTTTTATTCAATTTTAATGATTTTCTTATAAAAATGAATTGTATAAATAAAATAATAAATTTTTTTACTAATGTCTGGTTGCACCGGTCAGTCACAACCACCAATCTTTCTTGTTAAATATAGAAAAAAAAAATTATAATTGTCATATTTTACAAATTATAATACATTTTCAAGCAAAGATAATGTTGGAGTGGACGTAAAAATTTGTTTATTTATCTCTAGTACTGACTTATTTCTGGTTGGCCATGATTCATGAACGTGTTCATACTATCTTTGTCACTTGGAGGCTTTGAAACACATTATTTCCTTTCGATTCAATGAATTGTTTCCTCGTGGATATCATTTCATTCCTGAAAATTAACACCGACGACAAGGAAACAGATTTTTTAATTTCTTGTGATTCATAATCGATATGGAATCTTTTGTCCCCTTGTTTGAAAAATCATAAACGGTATGATAATTCAGTGCTAAAAAACGTGGAAATTGATATTTATAAATTACTATTCTTTTTGTGTGACATGCGTTCCACGTTGCACGTTGATTCGAACTCGAGACTCCTCACATAAATGAAAAGATTATCAGATTACACATGATTGACTTAAAAAATAATTGACTTGAGATATTTTTAAATTTCATTATGAATGCTATTAAAAATTTCATTATTTTCCTTTTATTTTCATTTTTATATATAGTATAAATTTGAAAAAGGTAAAATTAATTTGACGGTGTTTTAGCAACGATGTATCTTGATGATATTATATTGTACTTTTTGCAAAATAATAAGTTACAAAAGCTGCTAAAGTAAAAAGGAAAATGTTTCCTTCCAAAGAAAAAGAAAAAGAAAAAAAGAGATGGGAAAGTGATAAAAAAGACAGTAGTTGCCAGAGATAAAAGACAGTACTTGAAATAAATTTTTATTAAATTTTGAAGATAATTTTAGAAGTAAAATTAGAGATTTGAAATTTTTTAGAAGAAATCAAACTAAAATTTTTATTATTTTACTTGGTATTATTAAAAAGATTTTACTTGAATGCCAATTTCAATTTGAATATATATATATATATATATATAATTCACTAAATTATTAGTAGATTGTTTCTGGGACGTTGATTGAAATGACTCTTTCATCTTTTTTTTATTTGGTGGTCTCACAATTCATATTTCACATCTTCTGTAAAGTTTTTAGGATTAAAAGTTTATAAATGGAAAAGAATTATTTACATTTAATATCGAAATTGAATGAATTCTTTTTTCCACCTAAAGTGAATAGAATGAATCACGCCATCAATGTAAAAAAATGTGGAGCACGAGTACAATTATTGCAATTGACTTTATCCTCAAACCTTAAAATTTTATATAAAAATAATAATAATTATGTTTTTTCTTCATTATATAGAATACTTGCAGTTTTCCTGTAATTTTCTTTAAGCATTTCATCATTGAATTGGCTGTTTGTAAATTACATCCTAAATTAAGTATGCATTAATAACATTTTCCAACTCTATAAGAAGGGGGAGATCTAGGTTATACTTTCTCACAAGTAACACTGTATCATGAACATGGCAAAACTACTCATAACTCTGTTTGCAATACTTCTAACTTCTTCTGTTTCTGATACTAAGCCAGTACTAAAGGAAGCTAATCATAAACCTTTTAATTATCGTGACCAGGAAACAATCAGTGTTTTTGAACCAGGAACGTTGTCCACAGTATTAGATAATGTTCAATCTTCACCTCCTAAACCCTTATTAATTGCTAGACCAACTGTAGCTGGCACCTACCCAATTCTTATATTTCTCCATGGCACATGCCTTGAGAACTATTTCTACTCTGATATCCTCCAGCATATCGCTTCCCATGGATATATTGTGGTCGCTCCTCAGGTACATATGCGAGAGTAACTTATATGGGAACATTAGCTAATCATAAACCTTTTAATTATCGTGAACACAGGGGAACAATCAAGGTGTTTTTTGAACCAGGAACGTTGGGGTGCCACAGTATTAGATAATGTTCAATTCTTCAACCTCCTAAAACCCTTATTAATTGCTAAGACAACGTGCTAGACCAACTGTAGCTGGCACCTACCCAATTCTTATATTTCTCCATGGCACATGCCTTGAGAACTATTTCTACTCTGATATCCTCCAGCATATCGCTTCCCATGGATATATTGTGGTCGCTCCTCAGGTATATCTCCATTTTTCCATGTCTATATATATTTTGCTTAATATTACTGAAGTTGGATTATATCAAATTCCTTGCAGTTATATTCTTGCTTAAGGTGGTTAATTCCAATATTACCGATAAGCGGACCGGACGAGCTTAACTTTGCAGCGGAAGTGGCAAACTGGTTGATTTCAGGCTTAGAAAATGTTCTACCTGAAAATATTACAGGAGACATAAACAAGCTTGCTATTGCAGGCCATAGTAGAGGTGGAAAGATGGCATTTGCTCTAGCCCTTGGATATGCTAAAACACCATTAACTGTAACCATATCAGCATTAATAGGTCTAGACCCGGTTGAAGGGACTGAAAATATCGTCGTTGATCCAAAAGTTCTCACTTACATACCTAACTCTTTTAATTTATCGGTTCCAGTGGCTGTGATCGGTTCTGGGTTAGGTAACGAGTCAAAGCTCTTACAACACTATATATAGGGCACAGCATAAATTAGTTTAAATTTCTCATCCATAACTTTCTTCTTTAATTACAGAACTATATTAATGGCAAAACTGCTGCTAATAACCCTCTTAGTAACACTTCTAGCATCTTCATCATTGGAAGCTAGGTCTAGTAGTTTAGGTGTTTTTGGAACAGGAAAATTATCCACCACATATTATCAAGTGGAGGAATCAGATCAGTCTGCAGCTTCACCTCCTAAACCTTTATTAATTGTTACACCAATTAATGTTGAAGACACATATCCTGTCTTTGTGTTTCTCCATGGCACCTGCCTCTCCAACTATTTCTACACTGATATTCTTGAACATATATCTTCTCATGGATATATAGTTGTAGCTCCTCAGGTATATAACATACATATATTTGGCTTCTAGTGCATAATGTCTCTAATTGAAAGGGATGATCCCCCTCCTTGTTTTGTTGGAATTTTATATGATAACGATATATTGTTTAATTCTCAGTTGTATTCATGCCTGATAAACCGAGTGATACCTATGCTACCCATCAGTGGACCAAGAGAGCTCGAATTCGCAGCAGAAGTTATGAACTGGTTGCCCTCAGCCTCAGGCCTCCAATCTGTACTTCCTGAAAATATTAAAGCAGACCTAAACAAGCTTTCTGTTGGAGGCCATAGTAGAGGAGGAAAGACAGCATTTGCTCTTGCACTTGGATATGCAAACATTCCTTTAAAACTAAAAATTTTAGCCCTAGCAGCTTTAGACCCTGTAGAAGGAATGAGCAAAAACAACCCTACTCTACCCAAAACCTTTACATATCTGCCACAATCTCTAGACTTATCGATACCTGTAACTGTGATTGGTACAGGGTTGGGTAACCAGCCAATATGCTGGCTTGTTTGCCCTGCTTGTGCGCCAAATGAGGTTAACCATGAAGAGTTTTTCAACGAGTGTAGAGCCCCTACTACCCATTTTGTTGCAGCAGAGTATGGTCATATGGATATGTTGAATGAGAATATAAAGGATTTAGTAGGCAGATTGACTAATTCTCTGTGCAAGAGTAGTCAGAGTCCTAAGGAGCCTATGAGGAAAACTGTAGGTGGTATCGTTGTGGCGTTTTTGAAGGCTTATTTTGAAGGTCAAAGTGGAGACTATTTGACTATTGTGCAGGAACCTTCTGTTGCTCCTGTCAAGCTTGATCCTGTTCAATTCACTGAAGCATAAAACCATGCCCAAGTTTAGCTGCCAGAATGACTTGAATTTGTGATTCTTCTGCTTTCTTTTTCTATGGTTAATTTGGTTTTGGCGACTGCTTAACTCTTGCAGACGACTCATATACGTGACATTGAATTATTGTTCTCTTACTAATTTTCTTCAAGGGGTTGAATTTGTAATCCTGCATTTCAATAAGCCAAAATTCATATGATTCTTGTTTTTTAAATTACGGTTCTATAAATGTATAAAAAATAATATTGAAGTGATGAATGAGTTCTGGTTAGATATAATTTGAATGTTACAAGATTAAGAAAAAATTAATACTGTAAAATATCGGTAGGTTTTTATACGAGAAAGACTTACCTACATTCGATGTGTAGCTCATCCATATATCAAGTCAGTCCAACAAACTTATTTGGTGCAACTGAGAGGATTATCTTCTTTTTTTTTTTTTAAATATTAGAGAGTGTTATAGTCTTTTTACTGGAAAATATAGAACAAAAATTAGCACAAATTGTGATAATTTTCTAAATGACAATTCACTATTGACTCATTACATGGGTGGCTCAAGCTACAAAGAAAAAAAATTTGCTGATCAAAAAAGAAAAATATATGATAAGTTCGTGCCAGCTTCAGGCCCTAACATCTAATCATGATGTTATGATAGTGAATTCCAATGCTCTGATGCAAAATAACCATTTGTCAATGTAAAAAATTGTATAGATTCACACTAGGCTTGAAAAATCAAATTTTATCTTGAGAATTGAACCGTTAGAGTTTTTAAGGATGTAAAAAAAGTAGAAGATGATATGCTAGGGACCAGGGAGAAATAAATAAGTAGGCTCCAGCTGGATTTGGAGTTTTGCAGGCTGATTGGCTTTACTTATACCTGCCACAAATTTGTCGTCGACCTATTAAATATTTATAGACAAATTTCAGTGCCATTTTCTGCAGTTCACACGGCAGGATTTTATTAGTTTTGTCCGTTGGGACTATTTACTTGACGATATTTTATAGTTCCAAGTTCAATTCCGATTCCATCGTGAAATGCATGTCGATCCGGTGAAAGAAAATGTGAAAACTTTGAAGTGTGAACAATATGCATAGTTCGTTGATTCTTCTGTACTAAATTCCAAAAGTAGGGAGGAAAAACGAATGCCGAGAAAAATGAAACAGCACTATAAAAACAGGTAGAGCACTCTCTTTCTCTCCCATACACAGAGAAAGAGATGGCAAAACTGCTGGTGACTTTGTTAGTTATGCTGTTTGCATCTCACACTTTGGCAACAGAAACACTTAGTGTCTTCGAAACAGGAAACTTGTCAACAGTATGTTGTCATGTGAATCAATCACAGCTTGGCGACGATTCGCCTCCTAAACCCTTATTAATTGTTAGACCAGTTGAGGATGGCACTTATCCCGTCATTCTGTTTCTACATGGCACCTGCCTCCAAAACTCTTACTACACTCAACTTTTTGAACATATAGCTTCCCATGGATATATACTCGTCGCTCCTCAGGTATTTCTTTTCCATTTCCAGAGCTATATGTACATGAACTTGTTTGGCATAATGAATTTCATGTAATTAACTTTTAAACCCATTTCTGGCATATTTGGTATGTGCCAGTATTGCTTGCTATCCTGAACCCGCACTGGGTCCATGTGCCAGTAAACGTTTCTAGGTTCCTAGTGAACCTAACCAAAACATTTTCTATATTCATTTGTTCTTGCTAGATTGTTCATGTTTGACGCTTCTGTAATATAGATTTGCATGTACCCTATATATATATATATATATACACACACACATTTACTTGACGTTATTCTGCCTAAAAATTTCCTTGGTGTCATGAAATCGTAATTCTCAGCTATATGGTTGCACGGAGAAGTTACATATTATCTTTCCTTGGGAATTGGACATACCTAAACTACCAGTATGTGGAGATACAGAACTCGAGTGGGCAGCACAAGTCGCAAAATGGTTGTACTCAGGGCTCCAGTCTGTACTTCCTGGAAGTGTCAAAGGAGACTTACAGAATAAACTTGCTCTTGCAGGCCACAGTAGAGGTGGAAAGATAGCATTTGCACTTGCACTTGGAAAGGCCAAGACCTCATTGCAGGAAGTGAATATTTCAGCACTATTAGGAGTAGATCCTGTTGCAGGGCTTGGCAAAGAATGTAGTGAGCCTATAATTCTCAGAGACGGTACGTTTGACTTATCGGTTCCTGTTACCATAATCGGAACTGGATTAGGTGATCAACCAAAACATCCCCATTTCCCTTTTTGGCCTGCCTGTGCTCCTGACAACCTGAACCATAAGGAGTTTTTCTCCAAATCCAAACCTCCCAAAGGCCATTTTGTTATTACTGAGTATGGTCACTTGGACATGTTAAATGATGATCTAACTTCGGATTTTGTCGTACAATTTTTCAATGATTTGTGCACTGCCAACGGAAGCGGTTCCAATGCTCCAATGAGGAGAGGTGTAGGTGGCATCACTGTGGCGTTCTTGGAGTATAATTTTCAAGGTAAGACAAAAGACTACTTGACTATCGTGCGTGATCGTTCTGCTGTTTCGCCAGTGAAGCTTGATGATGTAGAGTTTGATCCTGCATACTTAACTGAGAAAACACCGGATAGTCTGAAAGCCTGTCCGCAAGAATTGCTTTGCTGGCTTTGGCCCTGGGGACATGCTCAACTCACTAGTATGATGTCAACCTGTTCATCGGCTGAGCCTATATTTGGAAATCCCCCAAGTTTACAAAGTTCCGGTTTGTGCCATCCACAATTTTCTTCATAGACTGAGGCCCTCTCATCATTGATCATGGCCCTTTTTAGCTAAGTATGTAATATAATATAATAAATGTATATTCACATCGATGCTTGTAATAATGGAATGTGTGGTGTAACAAATATATTTAGTATAAATAAAGAGAGGGTTAATCAACAAGCCTTATATCTCCTTATAACTGTTGCATCACACCAGCAATAGAGCCGGAAATTAAAATTAGAGGGCTAAAAAAAATTTAAAGGGGTGAAATTGAAAAATTAGAGGATAAAATAAAAAAAATTCAATATTTTATGAGTAATTCTTTAAAAAAAATTATTAGGGCCACATCAATGTACTAAAGATAGTTGCCTATAGCGGTGAATGGGGTTTGCACATATATATCAAAATACAGGAAAAATGATTTTTTTTAATCGTTATTGTGCTATTTTTTTTTTTTCAATTGATGATTCAGAAATACCATTCTCTGAACTAAAAAATTGTTTTTGATTTGTTTGGTTCATATTCAAGGAGGTGTTTCTAATCATTGAATTAATGTTTTATCCAAAATTTTTTGAACTAAAAAGTTTTATCCAAAATTTTTTACCCTCTCACGTTTTATCCGACCAGCATGTTACTGATTAATGTTTTATGATTTCTCAATCACAGACCTCTTTATACTGAATTAGGTTATCAAATTGTGCTGTGTTAATAGATATTTGAAACTTACACCACAATTTTTTTTAACTCTATCCCATATACATATGTATCATCTTCGACGACCATACTTCACACTGTAAATGTGTCTTTGAAACACAATTATTAAAATGAGACAAATAATGGATGTAAAAAAAGAGAATAACATTTGTCGATATCTTAAAAAGAAATAAATAGACAGGTCCCTTGACGTAAACTGAAGTTTGGCAGAATGTTTAAACTCTGCATATGGTTTTTTTTTTTTTTTTCTCTGACAGTTGTTAAGCTAAGCCATTTATATGTCAGTTCAAGAATTTATCATTTTTATTTATATTAAAAGGAATTTATAGGACAACTTAAGAATTCTGAGACAAAGTGAAGCAGCAATAGAAATTGACGGACTGACTGGAAATAATGCATATGGCACATCGAATATTACTTTGTCTTTGTAACTTTTTCTTTTTCATTCACATTATCTGGAATATATACCACTTTAATTTCAGCATTGTAAGGTTTATTTGAAAGTAACAAAGAGGCGTGACGATTTGCATGCATATATGTATAGCTAGGGTGGCCATTATTTTTGAGTCTCTGTGTAGATTAAGCTTACGCTTTCCCTTTAGTTTTATGAAACAGTAAAAAGTCGTATGTCTATGACTTTTACTTTTAAAAGCAAAACTCGTGAATTGCACTTGTCTCCTTCTTCTTTCCTATCAATTTTGCAAAAGCAAAAGCTAAAATTCTAGTGCAGAAAATTGCCCTCTATAGAGCAAAGATCACGAGTTGGAACTCACAATACTTGAAATCCAAGTCTTTTAAGGTCCCAGAAGCACCTTAACTACTTATAATTGCATACCCATCCCCCATTTTAATCAACCTACTCATTGCAGCATAAGAGGAAGAAGCAGAAAAAATGGGTTCTCCTTTGGGAACAACTAACATCGATCCTGAGATGCATAATCTAAGGACTAACTTGTTCAAATCAGCAATGAGAGGTGAATGGAACAAAGTGGTTGCATCCTACAGAGTTAATCCAAAATCTTACAGTGCACAAATTACCCGATCAGGCGACACGTCGTTACATCTTGCAGTCCGCGACGGTCAAGAAGATATCGTGGAAGAGTTGCATTTCTCTTATATTTTAAATTAGGTATATTTGTTGAGGAGCTTAAGATGGAGGAGATAAGTAATCAATCATTTTCAGTGACGGCGTCCAACAACAATAGCAAGCCCACTTATCCAGAAAACTACGAGGCGTGCATGGATATCCTCCTTTTGATTAAGAAGGGATATGAATTTGGCAAGTATAAATAAAATGATTTCCCTTTTACTAACCTTTATGTAACTATTATTATAGACGTATTTCTATGGTCGGGCCAAGTGGTATCCAAGTAAGATAAAGCCCTCTCATTAGTGACTCAAGTTTAAACGTGTCACTTGTAGATAAAATTCGACTCCAGATGATGCAGTTCACTTGTACTGATCTAACTACCTGCATATAATTATGCAATAATAAGAACCAACATTAGGTTATTATTCTGCTAATAAAGTCTTTAATGCTGTATAACTGACGAAGGTAGCCACTTTTGTCATCTCAGCAAAGAAGTTGTCATTAGAAGGAACGAAGCTTTTCTCAAAAACGAAGAAATCTCCAACAGAAAGCCCGCGAGGGGATGCAGAGAACCAACAAGGTGAGATTAAAATAATCCTATTGTTTTTCCTAATTAATCTTGTTTAACATATGATTGTTATTATTATAACTCTAAAAGAGTGATATTCGGATATCTTGTTTATAAAATGGAGTAGCAACCAGAAGCCGAAGCCATGAATTAGTTCCTTCAAATTACGACACGTGCTTTGACATCCTCAAATTTGTGTCCAAGGCAATGTTAGTCGTACTTGGATTTGGTCTGTTTTTCTTCCCTTCATTTGCATATTAAATTCTTAACAATATAAACATTAATATGCATGGTTAACTAATTAATTGATTATCAGGTTCATCGGATATAAGAAAATTGGAGGATAAAAAAAAGAAGCATAGTTCATCTTGAGGTATTAAGAAAATTGTGAGGATAAGGAAAAAAAGAAAGTGCATACTTCATGGTGTCTGTCCAAATTCATGGAAGAAACTTCTCCAACCGCTTTACAATTATAATACACGTCTTCCGGTAAAATCCCATTCTGGGGAAAGAGTACTGATGATGAGGAACTGGGACGAACAAATCAACGAAATCAGCCTAAACCATAGTAAGATTGATCTGGCGAAAGACGAAGGTATTAATTTCTTTAATTTTAATTATTATTGTTATTATTAGGAATAATGGTTCCAAATTTGGTCTCTAAGACTTGTTTTAGTGGGATTAAAAAAGGTCAAATTTCGCCGTGGGTGTTGAGCAATTTTAACCTTGAATTTTATTATTATAAAATGATTAAAAAGGATTCCATTTGCACTGTTTTCAATCCCAGTATATAACCTATTGTGGAGGACTTGTTGTGGTGAGTTGGTTATATATGTAACATGTGATCTGTATGTAAAAGTCTATGAAACTTTTATTTAACATGATTAACTTTTTATCCATTTTGTCCTACACTAAAAACATTCAGATCAAATTTTTTCAATACGTATGAATATAAATTTAAAATTCATAAAAAAAAATCATGTTTATAATATAATAAATTTATAAATATGCATTATAACTTTAATTTATTCAACATAAAAAATACATAGATTTCATAAGCGATAACCCAGTAATAGAGGTTAATTTTAAAATATTCAAATCAATACATATTTATAAACTCAAATCCATCAATCAAGGTAAAGAGAAAAACAATATACTTCATATATCATTTTCTTACATTTTATAATTAATTAATTTTGTAACAAATCTATCAACTCAATCCCAATTATAGTTTTAATAAATGTATTTTCACATTGTAAGTACAATGAATAATTAGAGGTTAAATTGACTGAAAATGTCAAATATGATTTGTTTTTAATCATAATGATTTTCACACTATAAATGCAATGATAAATTAGAGTTAAATTGATTCAAAATGTCAAATATGATAATTAGGAGTAAGATTGAGCGCAAGAATGGCCATAATGATTATTGATTTTTTTTTAATTCATTTTTAAGATGATCAGTAGGAGGGTTAAATTTGACCTTAAAAAGTGGTAAATCGAATCTTTTTAATCATTTTATTATCAATTTAGAGACTAGAATGACGTTCAAAAGGTGAAATACTATCTTTTTTTTCCTGCTTAAATAAGGATCTTTTTAATCATTTTATACAAGTTTAGGGACTAAATTGGCTCAAAATGTGAAATATGATCTTTTTGACCTGTTAAACAAGTCCGGGGATTAAATTGACATTTATTTCTTATTATTATTATGTCTAAAATTAGCGTTTAGTGTAACTTAGAATCATCTAATAAACCAATTTAGTTAAAACTGCAATGTGTCATTGACAGTAAATACCAAGCAAAAAGACCTAACGGGAAAGAAAGAGACACCTATATTGTTTCCAGTAAAGGAAGGTGTTGATAAGTTGTTGTGCAAACTCGTAGAATATTTTCCTGTGGGAGATAAAAACTTGGACATGAAAAATGTAATACTTATGGCAGCAGAGAAGAAGGAGACTTCTGAAGTGGCGGTGAAAGAGACAGCCATATTAATAGCAGCAAAAAATGGCATCGAAGAAATGGTAGACAAAATTTTGGAAAAGTTTCCTGTAGCAATTCATGACGTGAACTCAGAAAACAAGAATGTAGTGTTATTAGCAGTGGAAAATAGGCAACCTCATGTCTATAAACTTTTGCTGAAGAGGAAAGTAATGAGAGACAGTATCTTTCGTAAGTTAGATTATAAAGGAAATAGCGCTCTTCACCTTGCTGCCATGCTTGGAGACTCTACGCCATGGCGTATTCCAGGCGCTGCTTTACAAATGCAATGGGAGGTCAAGTGGTATGAGGTATGTCTAATAATCCTAATCATAGATAGAGATCACATAATAACATGTCGTTGCACAAGCATTCTTCTAATTAAGATAGCTTATGATCGATGTTGAAAAAACTGCAGTTTGTTAAGCAGTCCATGCCACCCCATTTCTTCACCCGCCACAACAAGGACAACAAAACCGCAAAAGCCATATTCAGTGAAACACACAAGGACCTCGTGAAAAGCGGGGGCGAATGGTTAATAAACACCTCCCAATCATGCTCTGTTGTGGCTGCACTAATAGCAACGGTTGCCTTCGCCACAGCAGCCACCGTCCCAGGCGGAGTCGATGAAAAAAAAGGCACGCCAACGCTGGAAAGACACCCTGCATTCAACGCCTTCGCTATTTCATCTGTGGTGGCTCTTTGTTTCTCTGTAACATCAGTCGTCATGTTTCTTGCAATACTGACTTCACGATACAAAGAGAAGGATTTTGGAAGAAGCTTACCGAAAAAGCTTTTGTTAGGTTTAACGTCGTTGTTTGTGTCCATCGCGGCCATGTTGGTGTCGTTTTGTGCAGGACATTTCTTTGTTCTTAGAGATGAATTGAAATATGCAGCGTTTCCAATTTATGCAGTAACGTGCTTGCCGGTTACCCTTTTCGCCATAGCACAGTTTCCTTTATACGTTGATCTCATGTGGGCTAGCTTTAAGAAAGTGCCACAGCGTAGCTACTCGGTGGTTCGTTAATTTTTATTTTTATCTTTGTAGAGATGAGCTTGTGATTGTCTGAATTTTTTGTCATGCGTTATTGGAATCAAATTTCTTTCTTCGTATTGCATTAATTTTTTTGAATAATTCTTTTGATAAATAAATGCAAACTGCCCTTATGCAATTAAATTAGATATGAAATTTGAATTAATTGTTCGGACATTAATAACAGCATAGAAGAAAGATTCACATAAAATTACGATATGTGGTTATTTAGCGCAGACCGGACATATGGAAAAAACTCTCGAGTTTGATCCTACTAAACGCACGTGGAAAGAGCTCTCGGATTTAATCTCTACTAAATGCACCTACAGGGAGGGGCGAAGAGTTTCAACTGTGATTAAACTCCAAGCCGGATTAAACAGTTTTTGTTAATATAGTCCGAATACGGATGATTTATATATAAAAAAAAGATTCATATGAAATTGAAAAAAAAAAAAAAAAAAAAAATATGAAATTGAAAAAAAAAAAAAAGAAAAGAAAATCAGAGGATATCTATCCATATCCTAGCAAGAATAAATAAGTAATTAAATCCTTCTTTTCAAAAACAAAAATAAAACAAAAATAATTTAAGTTGTTTGTTGGGTAGCATGATTATGAAATGATTTTGGAAAACACTTGTGTAGATCAGGTCTTTGACCTCATCTATGAACTAAACGAATGAAATCTAGGAGCTTTTTAAAAAATGTTTTGACTTTGTTCTTTTTTTTTTTCTAAATATATCGTCAGAAATACCCTCATTTTAATAAGAAATATTTTATGCTTTAGAGTTTTAGAAGCATTGCAAACTTTTTTATGGCTATGGAAAATAACTAATCTTTAAAAAATATTTTTAATGGAAAAATATTTTTTCTGGAAAATTTTTATAAACAACTCTTTTGTTTTGTTTGATTGCAACATAAAAAATAATTAAATAATTATTATTTTCAATATTTTAAGACTATGAAAATATTTAAAATTCTATAAAATTGATTATTAAACTAGTAAATATATATCTACGTTTGTTAATGTCTAAAACATAAATATTTTTATTTTTTTTAAAAAGGAAAAATCATCTTATTTTAGAATGACTTAATTTTCTTTCTAACTATAGGAAAATAAAACCTATGCAAATACTTGACACCTTAAATAGAATAGCCAATTGCTTTGACAACTGAGAAAAGGCTTCTGTGTAAGTTAAGGCTTAAATCTAAGCTTTCACTTTAGTTTTATTACACAGTAAAAAGTCATATTATATACCCTGTGCCTCTTACTTTTAAAAGTAAAATACTCAGAAAACATAAGCTCATCATAAATCAATTTTGAAAAAGCAAAAGTAAAAATTCTAGTGCAGAATTAAGAAATTAAATAGTACTAATATCTTATAAAAAAATCATTTAATCAAAAAACAAGATTTTTTTTTTTTTTGGAACTAGGTGCATTATAAGTAGTCTGGAAAGGTTAAATCTTTGTCTAAACATTTTTTGTTGGTAATAAAGGTCAAAGCAATTACGTGGCGTCCTGGGGTTGCAGCCCCAACAAAGTAATAAATAAATAAATGAACAAGCCTTTAGAAAAATACAAAGGCGAGAGCCGCAGTGTCCCAAAATGCCCCTCAAGTCTCAACTCAACCTCTACGCACTCACTCTCTCGCCCACTCCCATTAACAAAACGCTCAAAAAGTACACTCTTATTTACCGCAAAATCGCCAAAAATTGGTGGAAACAATACAAAGGCGAGAGCCGCAGTGTCCCAAAATGCCCCTCAAGTCTCAACTCAACCTCTACGCACTCACTCTCTCGCCCACTCCCATTAACAAAACGCTCAAAAAGTACACTCTTATTTACCGCAAAATCGCCAAAAATTGGTGGAAACGGTGAAAAATCTCAGTAATCATCCTTGCTTCTCGAGCTTGGCATCCCCGATTACTGGCCGGAATACAACACCATGCAACCGGCAGAGACCATTTCCCGGTCTCCTCTCGACAAACCGCTCCAACAACTCACTGAAGACGACATTTCTCAGCTCACTCGCGAAGATTGCCGACGATACCTCAAAGAGAAAGGTCTCTCTATGTATATATGTGTGTATTTATTGGTATTTGAATATGTGAAAGTACAGTGAGTGAATAGTGTGTTGCTGCAGGTATGAGACGGCCGTCCTGGAACAAATCGCAGGCAATTCAGCAAGTGATCTCTCTCAAAACGCTTCTTGAAACGACGCCGGATTGGAATGGCAATGAACCTCGAAGAAGACTCTACATTCCCCGCCCGGATAATCCTAATCGCGTGCGTTTTCCAACCATTAACCACCTTCTTACTATTAATTTATTTTTAGCTATTATATATTATTACAAACATATTTATATATATATTTTTTGATTTCTATAATGCAACAATGTTTTTATTTACTAATTGATGTTGTATTTTAGTATTTTATAGGCCCCTGCAATTTCCCCTGTTTCCTTGAAGGAAACGCGCGCCGACACTCGGATCACCCCGTCGCCTGAGGAACTGGTTCCATACAGGCGACTTGATCCTCCAAAGCATGATGTTCCCGGTGATCCTTCGGTCCATCACTTAGCCAAGGAGAACGACTTGGTTTCCCCTAGGTTGTGCCTTGATTTCTTTCTTAGTTAATGTTATTGGATTGGCGGCCTTATTATCATCAATATTTATTTAATATTGTGCATTTAAACGGAGGTGCTTGCACATGTATCAGCCATTTTTTTTTTAAAAGAAAAATTGTGTGTGTGGGGAAGCAGAGGGCATGGAGTAGCCCAGCTTTTGTAAGATTATTTAGGCCATTTAGTTTTCCTCCCTTATTTTGGCCCTTAGTCATCTCTTTATGGATAGACTTAGTTGACTTGAGTCAAGTTTGTAATGAGGACGATTGCGTCAGCGTCTTAATAATACCCTTGTGTCTGGAATTTGAACGGCATGTTTTTGCTGGGGAGTTCAAACTTCAAAGGAAAGAGGTTTGGGTTTGGGTTTGGGTAGCAGCTACTGTTGTCTTGGTCAACAAAGACGGTCTTTGACTTGTCTAGGATTGCAGTTGATATACCCTTGGCGATATTTGAGAAAGGTCTTTTCTTTATTATCTCCTCCTTTTTCTTTTTCTCACCATAATTAATTATACTGTATGAAGTAACATATTCTTCCACATAGTTTCACAATGTCATATCAGTTCAATCAAAATGCTTGGAGTTCATTTGAAGTTTGAAAACGAGAGAATAATGTCTACTTTTCAAATCATTTGTCTTTTCATAAAATGACCTCTCGATACAATTAGCTTGAATCAAAACTTCTGATGGCTTTAAATGCAGCAAGAATGAAGATATATGGCGATCATGAGTGCGTGAATGTCAAAAAAAAAAAAAAAAAAAAAAAAAAAAAAAATGCGCAAGAATGAAAGAAGATCCATCCAGACCTCGGCGATCATGAGTGCGAGTAAATAGTTCAACAATAACCAAAACTGAAAAAAAAAAGCAAAAAAAAACAAAAAAAAGGCATCCTCGTTAGAACTAACAAACATCGAGAAACCCAAAAGTTTTTCTTGAGCACCAGGGTTTTGAGATGATGTCTCTAGATCTGTACCCACATTATACCTTGTGGTGTGACACATATCTCGCATGGCCCTCATGGCCTCTCTTCCATTCCTGGTTTCTAGTTGGTTAAATATGTTTCTGGTTCTTCCTTGTGAATCTCTTTTTTTTGCTTTCACTAGATCTTTTATATCAGAGATTTTAATATGATGCATTATCTACTTAACGAAATGCCTTGATGGGAATGGGCCATTTAGACAAAAAAAAAAAAAAAAAAAAAAAAAAAAAAAAAGCTCGTAGTAACACGAGAACCCAAAAGTTTTTCTTTGAGCAAGGTTTTGAGATGATGTCTCTAGATCTGTACCCACATATAACCTGTGGTGTGACACTATTCCGCCATGGGCCTCATGGCTCTCTTCAATTCCTGGTTTCTTAGTTGGTTAAATATGTTTTCTGGTTTTCTTTGTGATATTTCTTTTTTTGCTTTTCATAGATTTTTATCAGCAGAATTTTAATATGATGCATCTATCTACTTAACGAAAATGCCTGATGGGGAAATGGGCAATTTTGGTCCCTGTGGAGCTGTATTAATCAGATTCTCTAGAATCTGGGCCATGGCCGTTATTTTTAGGAATGAGATAACAAGTATCAATAGAGTTGTGTAGATGACCACTTGAAGTTCATAAACTGAAATAATATATTTTAACTTGACAGGACTAAAGGTGCAGCAAATGAGCCCATAGGTCAAATGACTATTTTTTACTGTGGAAAGGTCAATGTGTATGATGATGTACCAAGTGACAAGGTAAAAAAATTTCCTGTGTAGAAAGATTCTGCTGGATATGATTTTCCTTTGTATGAAGACTATGGAGAGTATGCTGTAGCAGAATGACCTTTAATTATTTTCAGGCACAAACAATAATGCAGCTTGCTGCATACCCACTCTCATTGTCTCTGGAAACTTCAACTGACATGGTTCCAGCATTATGCCCCATTCCACGCCAGTTGGAAAGTCCAGGTGTCAAACCTGCTGCTCCAGTGATGATCTTTTCAACCCTGAATACAGGTAGTTCTCAAGTTTGCTAGAGCTCTATGTCTTTAGAAACTTCACCAGGATTTGTGTCTTGCCCTTACTAGTCATTACAGCTGCAGAGTCCTAAACTATTAGCAGTGTACTTTAACATTACAGAATAAATGGCCAGCAATTCTTAGCTCAAATCACAATGCATGATAATAAGAAAGGCCATTTTAGTTGGAAAATTCTTTCTAACAGGTTGTCATTGGTTTACTGTATAGGGAAAGTGGCAGAAAACTGTCAGCTGCCCAGGGAGGAGTGCAACATATCTCATGAAGACAACCTAGGTTAATGCCTATGCTAAGCTAATCAACTCATGATGAATTCCTGTTTCTATGAATTTTTCTCTCTCTTTGGGGTAAATTGAATTTTTATTCCAGACGCAAATTAGAGCAGATGGCACCCTTCTAAATAAACTTCTGTATGTATTGTATTTACAGCTGCTCTTTATCAGTTGATACTTAATGTTTTGAATGACTCCTTCATAGTTCTAAGATTATTTCTTCTTCAGTATAATCTATTTAATGTTTTCCTTATTGGCTTTAAATACACATCTCTTATAGTATATTGAATGATTTAAAATAACCATGTAAGAAAATGAAAACTCAATGCTAGTTCCTTATTTGAGTGGCTTGTTATCAGAAGTCTTGAACTATCGCACCAATCAATGAGACAATATCTGCCCTTGTTCATGTGGACATTGAAGTTTTCCTCTTTCCTTTCCTATTATTTCATGGTAATGGTACAAGAACTGAAATGTCAGATGTTGCGATACACTAGGCCATATTTCTTTTTGTTTAACCTTTCTTGTTGAAAAAGAAAAACATAATCTTTACTATTTGCCCGACCAAGATAATTACTTTTTCTTTAGCCAGTATTTTTAAGGGTTTGTTTTATTGATTTCATCAGGTTATGGTATTCGGATTGCTTTTGTTTTGGTTCTGGGTCCAAGTCTTTGACTTTGGCATCCCATGAAAATTATATATATTTAATTGACCAATCAGTCTGTTTGCTAGGCCAGGTCAATCTTTTTTCTAGAATCCACTTCAGCATTAGTGAAAGACTGGAGATACTTTGAAAATAGTACAAGGGAAGGAACTAGAGAAATTATAGCCTGACTAGGGGATTGACTCTGCTCCCTTCCCTCCTTCCATTTCATTCTTTGTCATTTTTCCATGCCACTAATTATAAGTAGGGAGAAAGTAATTTCTCGTAGATACTTACTTGAACCTCATTTTATTTTTTCTCTTTCTTGAAAATGTTTCAGAGGGCCCAACCAGTAGAAAGGCATCAGTACAGAGATATCTTGAGAAGCGAAAGGATAGGTATCTTGAAATTGATAATTTGCTATTTATGGCAACAAAATAATTGTCGTTGTATATTTTGCTTTGTTATTTGCCCCTCATATCCCTGTTAGGTGAAGGTTCAAGAACAAGAGAAAGACAGCAATGCCTTCATCTCCTAGGTCAGACATCAACTTAAATCGAGCGAGAGAGCAGTGCTCAAATGATCAATGCAACCTAACTGATGCATCTTCTCCTCCCCAACCCAGACACCAGACAGCCTCAAACACCTAGCTGGTGCAGCTCTGTTGAGAATGCAGCAAAGCATCCCAATCTCTCTGCTGATCTCGATGACAAAGGTGACAGAGGCTAATCTTCGTGATACTTTTTTGTTTGTAATGGAAATAACACTTGGCAAGCTCTTTATGTGTTTAGATTAGTTTATGTCCTACAGATTGCAGTAGGAAACTTTAAATAGTGTGAATAAATCAGTAATGCAGTCATATGAGGAGCAGAACAACAAAAACCAAGAATGATATGGTTCTGGGTGACATACTGTTTTCTAATATGAACAGTTTGCTTTCATTGTTTTCATGCTTTAAATTCATTTGACGCCCCTTTGGAATTGACTATGATGGGTGAAATCCTTTGCTTCACTGCGTAAGATTTTCTTGCAAGTGGTATGTGCCTCCTAATACCAAGCAAGTGTAGACAAGCTTCATGCAGAGCATTAGAGTTGTGCCTTTTGTTACATAAGTTTATTCCATGTATTCTTTTACCAACTCTGTCCATTTGAACCCATTGCCTGGTTAAATTTATTATTGTTAATGGAAAGGATAAATCATAATGTTTAAATGCATAAGCAATCCGTAGAATTTTGTTCTGCAGACAGTGATCATGAGGGCAGAGGCACAATCATTTCATTGTAATGACATTTACCTGAAGAAGATTGTTGACCTCGTTTTTACCTCTGTTCAGCCTATAATATGAATCATTATAGGAAAATGTTAAAAAAATGTGAAATAACAATTTCTGACCATTATATGCATAAAGTGCAGATACCCAAGAATGTCGAATACGGCAAGATCAAGAATCAGAGTCTCCAGTTCTATTTTCTGATATCAACAGCTCGTCCAGAAGAGTTGGTACCACAAGGTAAAGCCTGTTGTAGAAGTTGCGGCCTTCTGTTAGATAATAGTTAAGAGTTAACAAATTCCCAATCTTCGAGTTATCAACATTTCCCCCTTTATTTTTATCTCTTAGTATCTAGAGACTATAAAGTAATGGGAGCTGTTGCTCTATGGTGATGATAAAAGCAGCTTGTAAAATAGCACCTTTGATGAAGAAATTTAAATTGGTTGATTTTGAACCACATGATGTGATGGGGCATCAGGACCCACAAATTGAGGGGAGCCTCTTTTAAAGGATAAGTGAAGGGGAGAGGATGGATATGCATAATATAGACTGGCGAAAAGTCAAATTATTGATATAGTGAATATACTACTTTTGCTTATCCTCCTCTGGCTGTCTAGTTAATTATAAAGGTGGAGGAACCTAAACCCACCAATGGTTGCTCCATCTTTTTGTCTATATTTCAATTATTGTGGTGACCAGTAATATTTTCTTCTCTTATGTCCCACTAATCTTTGGCACTCTTACCCTTGGCCTTTATTTCCCCATTTGATCTTGTCTTTCTTTTCGGGCATGTTAGTAGCCCTGATGGGATAGGGAATGAAATTTCTATTCCCTATTTTTCTTTTTTTCTTTTTTTTTTTTTTTTCAAATAACACTGTGCACACTATGAGCTACACAATAGGTGTAGTCCTTCCCTTGTGACTGAAAGGATTTGAATTCAAGATCTCTCATCTCTATATAAGTGAAGAGACCAACCAAAGCACCACGTGATGGGCTCTATTCCCTGTTTCTTTGTTTAGTAGCAAATAGAATTGTGCAATAGAGAATGAATTTGAGAATTGGTCCACCCTCTTAATCTCTGTAACTGATATATACCTTTGTTTTGAATGTTGTTTATTGGATGAAATTTTTATAAAATACATATATGCCCTGGAACTGAATGTTATTTATTGAATTTTTTTTATAAAATATGATATATACCCTTGAATTAATGAATTTTGCCAAAATATATCACTCATATATGAATATTACTTTTTTTTTTAAAAAATTATTATGAATCAAAATTGTAGATTGAAAAATAATTTTCTCCCATTATTTGCAAATATTAAAGCTAATCACATAATTATCTTAAAGAACAAGCCTTATTTAATAAAATAGTTAATTTATAGTAAATTTATTGATATATGGGTGTGTTTTTTTTCTTACTCATTCCTAATTATGTTCCTTGCATTATTCCTATCAACCAAACATATGAATCTAATCCCAAATCCTATCTTATGGTGCATATTAGATATAGAAATATGAATTCTATTCTACATTTCATTTCATTCTCTAATCAATTCTTTACTCCATACTAAACATTCCCTTCAATCTTAAAATTTTCTTCCCCAATTCTAACCCTAGATTACACATTCTAAATAAATAAAAATAAAATTTTAAAAATTAGAGCATAGATGCATGAACTTGACATGCAAAGTCCCATAGGTAGTGTAGGCTTGCTTCTTTTTGGTCCATTGAACTTGAACCCTTGGTTATAAGGATGCAGAGCTACTTTTTCAATCCCATAAAAGGTCAGCCATTGCATCCACATAATTTCTGTATGTGACACGAAAATCAAATCAAACAAAAGAGACGTGCACTTTCCTCATTGATTGTCTTTCAAAATCATAAAAAAAAAAAAAAAGGTTTATCTACTTATTTTAAAGGGAATGGATAGACATGTTTTAGGAATTGTTATAGTATATCTGAAATTAGTGTAATTAAAGCAGTATTGTAAAACATATGCTCGTTGAAATTTATGTAATAATAATAGGTACCGTAGCCTTTAATATAAAGTTGTGTAAGATTAGCTTAAGTGATATTTTTCCTAACTAAAGAAATTAGCGAAATTAACAGTAGCTAAGCTAGTTTACATGACCCAAGTATCAAGGAGAGACAGAAACGCATATTAATAGACTAATAGAAGTAACATAAACTGTTCGGTCAACCGTCAACGGTCAACTGTTCCTGCAAGGCAGAGCAACAGCGACATGGGAGTTGGGCAGTTAGAAGTTAGAACTCCAACTCAACGGTCGGATACAAATGGAGAAGGAAAAAAAAAAAAAGGGCACAAAGTGAGGGTCATTTTAGTCATTCACTTTAGACATTTTGTCGAGTATTTCAACTTCGGAGGCGAAAACATCGCTAGTAGCCAACGGTGGATGATTGTGTTGTGTACGAGTATGATACATGAGCATGTGCGGCTGATGGTGACAAACTATAATTTAAAAAAAAAAAAAAATAGAATGTGGGTTTTACTATTCAGCTATTCAAAATTAACCAAAACAAAACCAAATATGGGTTTCAATTATCACCTCTTTAAGCAGTAATTGTTCAATTTGAACCTAACAATTTATTGAAAATTAAACTCTTTTGGGTAAATTTTAATAAAAATTTAAACTGAAGGACCAATTTTGTTAAATGGAATAAATATATTGATCAAGTCATTAAATAAAAATAGATAACCTATTTAAGTTAAAAGAAAATCATGTTATATATTTTTTTATTATTTTATCTAATGGTCTTTAATCAGTCAAATAATGCGTTAAATCAGTTTTAAATCTATTTAAAAACTCAATTCAGTTTAAATTTTATATTATATTACGAATAAATTTAAAGTGCAAATTATTTAAATCATTGCGTTTTCCACGAGGTCGAGTTTAATTATTTAAAAATATGGAGAGTTTAAGAATTCAAAAAATATGAGATTAATCCTAATAGTTGATTTAATCAGCAGGTGATCTAAACCAAGAGTGAGTTGTGCATTCCACACACAATACTTTTCACCTTCCATTTTCCTAATATCTGCTTAGTGCTTACCATAAATTCAAACGTTAGATAAATTTAAAGGCCCCACTTTAGTGAGACAATTATTGATGTAAACTGGACAATCTTAACAACACGACACCACATAATCACTTCTGTGGCCAAACGACATCACTCTGTCTTCCATCACATCCAAATTATCAAAAAATTTTAATCTCTTAATTCCTCATTATTTCCATCATTTCCTTAATTTTGTTCATCTCTTCATTGTGCAAACAAACACTGCCTCCAAATCTTTCCTTCTTCTCCAACGGGAGAAAAGTGGGGGAGAGAGAAAGACAAAAGCAAGAAAGAAAAAAGAAAAAAGAAAAAAACTTTCCCTTTTACCAAACAAAAGAAAGTTAACAAAAGTTAGAATTCAATTTTATTCTTTGGATTCCGTCGCTTTGATTTCGCGTGCTTCTGCAAGCTCCAGCCCGTAATCTGTGATTTACTGATTTCCATCTTCAAATTCGAAGTCACAACTCTACTGGGTCTCTCGTCTTTGTCTCTGTCAGTCTATAATCTTTATCTATTGATTGTTTATGGTGCCTTTGGGGTTTTGTTATGAGTCGATTGGGTGGGTTATAATGTGGATTTGATTGCCCTTTTAGTAGAGATCTTACGTACTGGGTGTTTGGTTTTTTCTGGTTGTATTTGCTATATGTTTTGTGGAAGGAGACTGATGATGTATTTTATTATGTTAGAAAATATCACTTCTGGATATTCATTTGTGTGAATTAGAACTAAATCAAGACATCTGCAAGGCCAGTGGTGATTGCCACAGAAAAGAAATCAGCTTTTTTAATTATGAGTAATAATTACCTGTAAAGGGGGTTCAATTTGATTTGTGTGGAACTTACGGAGTGATATTGTATCCATTAGCTGTTTGTATTGTTTTTTTAGGTGTATTTTTCTGATTCTTTAGAAAAAATTTACGTTAGAGTTTTTGTTTTTGTGGGTTTGAGATATCTCTTTTGGCCGAGGGTAGTCATTTGTGAACACAAGCAACTTATTGCTCTTTTTATTTCCATTTTTGACTCCCAAATTTTGTTGTGTTTTGAATTCTGGGGAGGAAGGGTGAGGGGGAGAGAGGGAAAGCAAGTGAAGAAAAAACGCATCTGGCTACTGTGGAGATCTGGGATTTGTTTCATCTCTTATGCCCAATGAGGACTTTCTTCCCATCCGAGTCATGTAAAGAGTCACAAATCAATGCTTTAAATCCACAGTCATGGCTTCAAGTTGAAAGAGGGAAACTCTCTAAAGTTACTTCTTGCTCTTCTTCATCCATGTAAGCCATTGTTTTCATCTCTTATTGTTTCTGTAACTTCTCTTTTCCCAATAGATTGAATTTCTTTTGTTGTTCTTTTTGGCTTCTTTATTGTAGAGAATCACTTATCAAGGTCCCTGAACCTCCAGTCTTGCCATTCTTTAAACCTGTTGATTATGTAGAAGTTTTAGCTCAGATTCATGAAGAACTTGAATCATGTCCTCCACAAGAGAGGTCAAATCTCTATTTATTACAATTTCAGGTCTTTAGGGGCCTTGGCGAAGTCAAATTGATGCGGAGAAGCCTCTGCTCAGCATGGCAGAAGTCCAGCACTGTGCATGAGAAGCTTGTATTTGGGGCTTGGTTGAAGTATGAAAAGCAGGGAGAGGAGCTTATTGCTGACTTGCTTGCCACTTGTGGTAAATGTGCACAAGAGTTTGGACCAATTGATATTGTATACCAGCTTCATGCTGATATCAGTTCAAGTTCCCATGAGACTGTTTTGATGAATGCAGAATGTAATTTGAGAAATGTCATTTTTAGAATTGGAGATGAGAAAATTGTTTGTGATAGGAAGAAAATTGCAGGCCTTTCAGCTCCATTCCATGCTATGCTTAATGGATGTTTCTCGGAATCTTTTTGTGAAAACATAGATTTCTCGGAGAATAACATATCTCCTATGGGTTTTAAGGCAATCACCGACTTCAGTGTAACTGGCAGTTTAAATGAAGTTTCTCCAGATGTTTTATTAGAAATATTGATTTTTGCAAATAAGTTTTGTTGCGAAAAGCTAAAAGATGCCTGTGATAGGAAGCTTGCATCTTTGGTTTCCTGTAGAGAAGACGCCGTAGAACTCATGGAATGTGCTCTTCAAGAGAGCTCGCCCGTCCTTGCTGCATCATGTTTGCAAGTTTTCTTGCTTGAACTGCCTGATTGCTTGAATGATGATCGGGTGGTGAAAATATTTAGCCATGCTGATAAGCAAGAGAGAACAGTTATGGTTGGGGCAGCCTCATTTTCACTATACTGTTTATTAAGTGAAGTTGCAATGAACCTTGATCCTCAATCCGATAAAACGGCTAGTTTCCTAGAACGGTTGGTGGAGTCAGCTGAAAGTAACCGGCAGAAAATGTTGGCTTTTCATCAGTTGGGTTGTGTGAGACTTTTGAGGAAAGAGGATGATGAAGCTGAACGTCTTTTTGAGGCAGCTTTTAATGCTGGTCACAAGTACTCTGTATCAGGTTTGGCTAGACTGGGTTACATTAGGGGTCATCGGCTTTGGGCTTATGACAAACTCAGCTCTATGATATCCTCTGTTACCCCGCTGGGATGGATGTATCAGGAAAGGTCCTTATGTTGTGAAGGCAATAACAAATTCGAGGATCTTGAGAAAGCAACTGAATTGGACCCAACTCTTACTTATCCCTATATGTACCGTGCGGCTTCTTTGATGAGGAGGCAGAATGTACAAGCTGCACTAGCAGAGATCAACAGGGTTCTTGGGTTCAAACTAGCATTGGAATGCTTGGAACTGCGATTTTGTTTCTATTTAGCTCTTGAAGATTATCAAGCAGCCCTTTGTGATGTTCAGGCAATTCTCACTCTCTCCCCAGATTATAGAATGTTTGAGGGACGGGTGGCAGCCTACCAACTTCGAACTCTTGTGCGTGAGCATGTTGGGAATTGGACAACAGCTGATTGTTGGATGCAATTGTATGAGAGGTGGTCTTCTGTTGATGATATAGGGTCCCTCTCTGTCATATACCAAATGCTTGAATCTGATGCTCCAAAAGGCGTTCTATATTTCAGACAGTCTCTCCTTCTTCTTAGGTATGTTTCTTGAGTTTTAATCTTTGAATTGCATTGATGCATAATCTCCTTAATTTATTTTGCTATGACCAAATGCTAACTTTTATTAAAGCATGTGCCTTTTGATGAAGGTGTCTAATATGTAGTCAAAATTTGTGATCTCACGGAAGCCTGCGATTATTTTTTAAGTATCCTCACTAGAATCAGAATCAGAGAACATCATTAGTTTTCTCTATCATGCATTAGTTTTCTTCTAGAAGAGTTTTTTTCTTAAGTTTTCTGTCAAATATTTTTCCAAGTTCTTCTCTTTCGTGGTACTTTCTGTTTTGGGATGTTGGCATGGACAGCTTGATGATATTTAAGTTAAAAAATCTCATGGTTGTACTTTATTAGGTTAAATTGTCCTGAGGCTGCCATGCAAAGCTTACAATTAGCTCGGCAACATGCATCAACTGAACACGAACGTCTAGTTTATGAGGGATGGATCTTGTATGATACTGGTCATTGTGAGGAGGGGCTTCGAAAAGCTGAAGAGTCTATCATAATTAATAGGTCTTTTGAGGCCTTCTTTCTTAAAGCCTATGCACTGGCTGACTCTAGCCAGGATCCTTCTTGTTCTGTAACTGTTGTTTCACTACTTGAAGATGCTTTGAAGTGTCCTTCAGATAGACTGCGCAAAGGCCAGGTATGGTTTTTATAGCCACCTACATATTTCCTTAAAATGTTATTTTGAATTGCTAGTACTTGTCTATCAAATAGGAGATAGGCTCATGTTCAGAAAGAATATAAAATGATCATCATCAGCTCTCATTTGCCACCCAATTTTGGTTGTATCAACATCTTAATACTGTCATGGTGGCTTTGGTTTTGGGTTCAAGGACATTGATGGACATCATCATTAGTGGGAGAGCCATTGTGAATCTACAAAAACTGACTGATAATAAATTTCTTAGTGGTTAAAAAATAATGCAGCAGTTGATTCTGAATTTAGGATAACTGCAAATGCTAAGAGAGTTTAGTGATATTTAAGGGTACTGTAGAAGGTGAAATCCTGAAAGGGCCTCTTTAAATAGTATTTGGGTATCATGTTTTCTTGTTTTTCTGTTCTGGGTTGAGAAGTAAAGGTTCTGTTTAAAGGGCTTGTTTACATAATATAAAACTCAAAAACTATAATGTTAGTATGTAGCTCGGCTGAATTTGTACAGTGATAGTCTCGGTAATAGGACTGCAGATTCTTGCTACTCTTTGGACCATCATGTTATAATGGTGTGATAGCAACATTAGAGGTTGGGAAAGCACTGAATAGCTGGAACGAACTCTATGTACGACATATAACTGCAGATTCTTACTCCTTTCTTTTTCTTTGCTCTGTGGTTTAGAGCAGCTGATTGGGAGACCATTATGAACTCAAAATCATGTTTATTTTGGTGCGCTAGCAACGTTAGATATTGGAAGAAAGCACTGAAAAGCTGGAATGAACTCTATTTACTTATGAGAACTTCTTAGGAGATGGTTAATTTCTGTAATTGTCAAGTAGTTTGGCAATAGCCTCCAAGTGTGAGGTTACAGAGGTCCTATGTTTTGCTTGAAGGTACCATAAAAAATGAGAACTTATTTCCTCAGAGGAAGGTAAAACTGCTCCAGTGGAATGAAGTAGGTTGCTTTGTTTTTGTTTATGTGCAAACTTTCCCATAATCTTTGCATAGAGAAGTTCATATGTCGGAAAAAATTCTTAAGATTTGAAAGATTAGTTTTGAATGGAATTTAATGATTTATGATTTAAATTCCACCTGTCTTCTAAACTATAGTTTATTTATTTACCTAGGTATAAACTAGTCTCGCTCTCTTGTGATCGAGATTGATGAATCAGTTTCATTACTGTTGCATTGTCTTCGGTATAATGTTACATGCTGAGACGTAAGCATGCACAGTCTAACATTTTAGTTCTTGGAATTTTATTTGCCAGGCACTTAACAATCTTGGAAGTGTCTATGTTGACTGTGGGAAATTAGACTTGGCAGCTGATTGCTACATAAATGCCCTTAAAATCAGGCACACTAGAGCACATCAGGGCCTTGCTCGAGTCTATTTTCTCAGAAATGATAGGATTGCTGCATACGAGGAAATGACCAAATTGATTGAGAAGGCTCGAAACAATGCGTCTGCTTATGAGAAGAGGTCTGAGTACTGTGATCGTGAACTCACAAAAGCGGACCTAGAGATGGTCACAAAATTAGATCCACTCCGAGTGTACCCTTACAGATATCGAGCTGCAGGTCAGATTATTTTCCTTCCATACAGACTGCATTACCAAACGAAAAAGTTCTCGCATGGAAAAAAAAAAAACTGTAATACTCCAACTAATGTTGTCAGACTTAACCGATTGCTTATACAAAAAATACCAAAAGCAATAACTACAAGGAGATGTTATCACAATTGTTGTTGACATTGCAGCTCTGTTGTTTGGTTGGTTGCGTAATGTCTAGAAATTTTAGTTATGTCACATGCTTCATGTCTTATGAGCTGTGCTCTTCCCCCACTCTGCTATGAGCTTTTCTTCCTTTGACAACTCCATCTTGGCCTTTTTCTCTTTTTCTATTTCACAAAAAGTGTACCTATAATTTTACAGTGGATCCTACTACAACTGTTGGACTGGACATGATATGAGAGGATATATTAGTGAATTGGTTTTTTTTTTTTTTTTTTAATTTCTTCTTTTCTTTCTATTAAACTGACATTGAAGCTTTTTCATGTTGGGAGCAGTATTGATGGACAGCCACAAGGAGAAGGAAGCCATTGCAGAACTATCAAAAGCAATTGTATTCAAACCAGACCTTCACCTACTGCATTTGAGGGCTGCTTTCTATGAGCATATTGGCGATGTCTCGGCCGCCCAACGCGACTGTCGAGCTGCTCTATCTTTCGATCCGAACCATCAAGAAATGTTGGAACTTCACAGCCGTGTAAACAGCCATGAGCCTTGAAAACTATATATGGCTTCATTGGCATGCCATAGAAATACTGCCCCACCCTGTACACTATTCGTTTCCTCCCTCACTTTTTGTAATTTATGGCTTTTCCATTTTTGTAAAATTTAATTTAATTAATGTGAAAGAATTTGGCTACCAACACAAAAATATGCAAAAGAATGTCTTTGAAGGTGCAATTATCTTTATCTATTTTTATACCAGTTATATCTCTGACTATTTTTTTCTCTTTATACAACAAATTTTCAACATTTAATAATTTAATTAATTCTTTTATTCAAATATTTCTTTTTTTCATCATATTATTCGTGTATTACTTCATATTCTTTTCTGATTCTCATATAAGTCAACGAATAAAATAATATTTTATATTTTATGTTTTTTGTACAATTATAGAATTCTTAAATTATTAAAAAAATTTCAAAATTTGTCACTCATTTTATAATTATTTAAGCTCAAGAAGAAAAAAGAAAATCTTAGGCTTTTATGAAAACGACTCCGTTTATAGATGACAAGATCCCTCTCCTCCTTGGCTTAGTGCGTTACAGTGTTAGTTTCCCCTGATTCCGATCATTTCTTTCTATAGCATTTCATTTGCGTTTTCATTAACCAACTCGATGATAAAATTAGAAGGATTTGAGATTGGACTACTCTTATTTCTACTATTTCTGATTTCTATTATCCCATCTTCCGATGGATTATTATCAGTATCGTGTATGATGGAGTACGACAATGGCGGTGCTCCTGCCGTTTATAGCTCTCCAGAGTGTCAGCAATGGGTTCTCTCCTCCACCGCGTCTCTTCAAAATCGAAGTCTACAAAATTGCCAGTTCTCTATTCTTCAAGGACGCAGAGAGTATCAAGAGGATGCCATAGCTTGTAATCTTTACCTGAAACTATTATTGCCAGGTAAAAATTATTTATAATAATCAGAATCCAGAATTTCATCTTGCTTTGAGAAAGACTGAATAAATTATTGTTTAATATTTTTACTAAGAAAAGCTGCTCATATGAAGGCAAAAATGGGCTTGAGGAGGATACAGTCGGTATTATAGCAGTTTTTGATGGACATGGTGGTCAGGAAGCTAGTAAAATGGCTTCACATCTATTGTTTGATTACTTCCACGTAAATGTTGTATTTCAATCATACAAGAAAATGGCACAACATCGTAATGCATTGTCATCATCAAGCGATTACAGATCGTTTCAGCTGGCAATTCTAAAAGAAGCTTTATCCAAGACAATCAGTGACATTGATCTCAGTTTTTCTCAGGCAAGTGGGTGGCTTATTTCATTTCTGTCCTTGATTTTAGTGTCTGCTTCTCTTTAAGGAAATTAACGTTCTTTATGGCTTGTTCTATAATCTATGCTTTCAGGAAGCTATTACAAACAACTTTTTCTCTGGCTCTACTGCTGTTGTTGTTCTTTTGTTTGATGGGCAGATTTTAGTTGCCAATGTTGGTGACTCAAAAGCTCTTCTCTTGTCCGACAAAATTAGTACTCAGACTGATTCAGGAATTGGAGGTCCGAATCTTTCTGTTCACTCTTTGTTCTGTCTTCCATTATGAGTTCGAATCAGAAAAAAGTTGTTTCGGAATAAATTTAGGTTAAGTCTATCATATCAGTTTGATAAGATACCTAATGAATTAGATGTTGATGAAATGATAGGTGATTCCACGGTGCATATCTCCGCAACAGCACTAACAGATGATCATCATCCAGTCAGAGAAGATGAAAGAGCTCGAATTGAAGCTGCTGGTGGTTCTGTCATCATGAGGGGTGTGCCTCGAGTCAATGGGGTGCTTGCCATGTCTCGATCAATCGGTGATGTATATTTGAAAAGGTGATTTTCCAACTTGGATTAGATAGCAAGTTGATTTTTGAAATCCAGAGAGGCTCTAAGGGAACTGTATTGTCATTAGGTATGGAGTTATACCTGAGCCTGAGTTTACAGGTTGGCGACTTTTAACTGCAAACGACATTTATTTGGTGGTTGCATCTGATGGTATATTTGAGAGCTTGACGCAACAGGATATCGGTGATCTTATTTTTGAATGTAATTCGCATCTCCAAGGAAGTCAAGACTCGAAATTGTCGCATTCATGCCTGTCTTCAACCTCAATAGCAGATTGTATAGTAAATACAGCATATGATAAAGGCAGCTATGATAATTTGTCTGCTATTGTAGTACCCTTAAGACAAATTTCTTGAATGATTTCGAGCATGTAAATTAATTGTTTGGCTCTAGAAATGGAATTTCCCCTAAAAATTCTTGGCAAGAGCTGTGAATTGAAAAATATTTGTTTCTGAAACTATTTTATCCTTGCGTGATTCCAAGAACATCAGAAATTTAAGTTTCTTTTTTACTACTTTGATAACAACAATCCGCAGCTTCTATGCATGACCCTTCTTCATTAGCATTTGAGTGATGAGCTACTGTCAATTTGCAGGCAAAATTACCATTTGAAGCAGGACCTTGTAGATTTTTCTGTATTGTGATGACACATCAACGCTATTTCTTTGCCTTTTTAACTGGTGATAATACTGCCCACATAGAGAAGTACAACCAAAATCAGCTTGGCCAAATATTGAATAAACAATAAATGCAGGAATTTCCAAAACATAATTTATTTTTCTTATTGATTTTTGTTCCTTCAAGTTACATAAAGAAAATCTGCAATAAATAAAGAATAGAATTTACAAACATGAACGTATAAAAAGAAAGAATGGGACGAATAGGTTGTCAAAGGTTCAGATTGCAATGTAGAACGTTGTAAAAGAGATTAAGAAATGCTTACATCGGTGATAACGGAATCGCAACATGATAAACCATATACTTCCATTCTGATCCTGTGGGTCAAGAGGATTGTTGGCGTTTGGCATTAACAGTGATGCCTGTGAGCAATAGAATCCCCAAATAGTCAGGTCTTGATGAAATTTTGGAGCTGATGAACAGCATGGCATTGTAAGGAGCCAACCCAATTAAGAGATTAGGGCATCACTTCATCTTATTTCTATCGGTATTTCAATCTTCAAAATCTTCCACTGAAAAGCCTCTCATTTGTGATTCTTTTGAATTTTCCTTTAGAGTGACAAGATTGAAATTTTAACATTAGAATGAAAAAGAATATGGGACGTGCTTTCCGGTTCAGTCATCTCATGATTGGGAAAATTACCTTTTGGGAATATTGATTATCTGGTGCATCAAATGGAAAAACTTGTAAACTTCTTGCGAACTCAATTTTTATGAGTTTGGAAATAAGGATGCCGCAAAGCATCATCAACACTCAATCGATCCTCCTGTAATCACAAGAAATTAGGACCCAGCTTATACATTCAAAAGTGGCAATATGATTAATTGAAAAATGAAACAGGTATGCATACAGATAACTGGCTACACAAATTTTCTTTCCACAATTATCAATTTTAAATTTTACGTGTAATTTTCCTTACATAACTTGGATTTTATCAATATTTAAAAGTGGTCTTAAAAATTCTCATAACCCAATCTAAAAAGATGCTTAAATGTCAAACAGACTTAGACTACTATGCATCTATATATGCAAAAAATATTGGTAAATTCACAAGCTATGGCTCTAAATGCACATTCTCATAAATTATTTCTGTGAACTTACGGGATTCCAGAGTAATAGTTGGCGTACTAACCGTAAAGCCCAAACATTTGGAAACCTGCAGACAGTGAAAATACCAGATGTGAAAAATGCTGGCAAACAGAGAAAATGGATAGTACATAGTCATGCTGTAGTTTAATCAAATACAGTGTATATGAGATTGCATATTACCCTAATTTCAGAGGATCTCTACTTTTGATTTGTTCGGAAAAGAACTCTTCGGAGCATTTCCAAGAAGCAGGTGAAGCTCCAGCCTGATTATCAAAAGATAAGATTTTTCAGCATGCACAGAGCATGATTAAAATCTAATGAGAGATAGCAAAACACAGTATTGCTCAGAATAGCATGAAAAAAAAAGCTCTATTATCTCTTCCTTTTTTTTTTCTTTTTTTTTTTTTTGGTTTTTTTTTTTTGGTGTTGGGGGGGGGGGGTGCGGAGGGGGGGGCGGATAGACATACAAGAGGAAATTACCTTTTCGCGTATAAGACATGAATTAGTATTTCAGACCAAGAAAACCATTTTGTGACCATCAATAGGTTTGGTTTTTCTTTTTTTTATTTGGTCTAAACAATTGGGGCACCTTTATTTCTCATAATTGTTTCTTCCTCTGGGGGGGGGCGGAGGGGGGCGGATAGACATACAAGAGAAATTACCTTTCGCGTATAAGACATGAATTATATTTCAGACCAAGAAACCATTTGTACCATCAATAGGTTTTGTTTTCTTTTTTTTATTGGTCTAAACAATTGGGCAACCTTTCATTTCTCATAATTGTTCTCTCCCATTGGTGCCTAGGTCCATATGGTTCAAGCAGCTTATATTTTGGATAGGTAAGTGATTAGACCAGCAATAAGGTCATAGGCAACCAAAAGAAATACTTATAAGACCTAGTTCTTTTTCCTAGCAGCAGCAATCAGAGAAGTAATTACATTTTAGTAATTAAGTACATCAGGAGACTAGCCAGTGCTCGATCTTAACAACCAGTTTTTTTGCAAAGAAACAGAATTCTCTTAAGATAACACCAATGAAATATGTTGTCATGCAGAGAAAATTAAGGGCATTAAGCAATTGAGATGGTAAACTTACTTGGCCCATTGTGCCATGATGTTTAGAGGAACTCCCAGGGATTAAGATACATAACTCCATGAATGATCTAAGTCTGGTGCCACAAAAATAGCCAGAGTTGTCAATGTCAAAGCTATTCTAATTCTTAAATGATGAAACAGGTTTATTCTCCCTCCATCATGTAGCGAGGATTCTCTTTCTAACCACAAAAATTTGTCTTATGACTCACATCAAATCTCACCTTTAAATATTTGGTAAATTTCCAGACTAGCTGTTTGCAATTAAAAGAATTCATTAACAGTTAAGCAGCTCACAACCATTAAAGACATTCTAGTGACTTCCAATCACCACAAATTCAAATACATTGTCAAAACATCATAAAAATATTAAATTCAAGTTTTTCCTTGAATAAGAATCTAATACATATAATTTGAAACTGGTGGAACAAGATGTACAGAAGTCACATCCAGAGGAGGTTCACACACACAGAGACCGTAACCCCTCATTTGAATCTAAATTTAACAGGGATCAATAGGAGTGGTTGGAAGCAAAAGCTTGGAAGCCTTATCATCAGTGAGGCTTAGAGCAGCTTCTCTAAAAACTCAATCTAGTTTTCTAATCTTTATTTGGTAATATCTGCAGAAACATAACTCGTCTGTACTCATAGAAGGAGAAAAAAAAGAATCATCTTCTGACACTAAGGTTAACATTACAATCTTTGATCCTGTTTTCATATGAAACTTCTTGGTTCCATCAGTAAGGCACAGAAACAGAACTCCAGGTTAAAGCTTGTTACACAATAATGGATTTGACAGCTCTTTCCCACCCTCAACCCTCCTTTTGAATTGAAGGACAAGCTGAAGACAAGTGGGCCTCTAGTGTATGAATTTCCACTGACAACCACCTCAGCATGATTATCAAATGCAAACAAGTTGAAGCTTAATTCTCAAGTCACCTCAAAAAACTTGGACACTCTTACAAATAACTTCGTAAACTTTTAAAAACTCATGCATGTGAAAAGAATATGCTCAAAAGCAGATCATGTCAAAGAAAATCATCTGCAATCTCGTTTCATATACATTTAGAATCTGAGAAATTCATGATTATAAAAGCACATGGGACGGCACTCACTTGTATGCAAGCTCCTTCAGGTCTTCATTCCAACCTTCAATATGTGGATCTAGAAAGGCCCGTGTTAGAGAACTTATTTGAAAAACATTTGGTGATCCCAAGATCAACTCTAAAATCACAACACCTACACTCCACATATCGTACCTGCCAAAAAGAAAAAGAGTATAGACAACAATTTAATCAAATATATTTAAACGGTGACTTTCACTTGTAAGAAATAAAGATAAATACTCAGAGCATGGAAGATAATGTCCTGTACAAAACAGATAGAATTGCTAAAACTCTACACCAGTAAGTGGAAGGACAACATACTTCAAATTTGAACCTGTTGGCCCCTGATACCAACTAGCATTAAGAAACGCTTCCGGAGGAGCATACTCATAAGTTTGTTCAGCCCTAATTAGCACAAAATAGATATGTATCATAACGGTGATATGCTAAAACACAGGCATGGAAAACAGAAAAGCCTCCTGAAGAGAAATGAGATACCTAGAAGGTCCTGTTGGTCCATATAAATGTTTGAGAGTGAACTCATCCATTGCACTACCAAAGTCAATAATTCGCCTAAATGATCAATAAAAGTGGGATCAATAACCAGCTCATAAATCACGACATAATCAGAAAGCACATATTGCAACCTCTCCAAAATGCACATTTGATCACTAATCAATGACTGAAAATTAATGTGTAGCAAAAATTTTATAACAGAAGAGATTTTCAAGTTAAAGAATGACTACTACTCTATCATACATTTTGGTGCTATATTTCTTCTCTAAGCTGGGACCTCCTTTCAAGCATCTACCAGTGTCCTGATCTTCAAAGCATATTACCATGTTCTCTATCAATATGAAACATGAAACCATCTTGAGTATAGCATAATCCCAAAAAAGGAATATTGACATTGGGAAAAAAACGTGTCTTAGAAAATGCAAGTATCCTTTGAGTAGGCACAATTATTGCCAATAGTTTTGCCCAATGACATGACAGTGAATGCATGAATAGCTCAACAGGGGGATTAAACAAGAAAAATGGAACAATAAAGGCCAGCCAATTGTTATCAACATTATCCTGGATCCTTTAATCAATGCATTTGCAGGTACCAGATTTTCCACGAGGCACTATTTATAAATTTATACTTCTAATATACTTTCAAAATCATAAATTGATCCTAATAGAAAAAGACCTCAATCCTCTCACCAGGTTTGATATCCCTGTGGGTGATGTTGCGGTCATGGCAGGATTTGAGAGCCATCAACTGCAAACGTGAAAAAACAGCAGTATCAGATATCGTATATTCCAATAGTAAACCTTTGAAACAAAACAGAAACAAATTTCCAAAAAGCTTTCTTCAATTGAAACAACATGAGCAAAAGCTTATTACTAGAAACTTGAAGCATATTAATTAGAAATCCATTAAAGAACTAATCACAAATCAGTGTCCTTTTGCCAATAGACAATGCAATTAAAATAAACTTTGTTGTACTTGACGCCAAACCAATATTTCATCAGAAATGAATTTCTAAATCATAATTACCTGGAATGCAGCAAATTTGGAATCCTGGTGCAGGTACGAGACCAAGGTTCACTACTAACTTAGGATAGGTTGAGGGGGTAGGCTCAGTTGGTTCACTCGTGCAGGCTGGGTAGGTTTTGAAGTGTTCTTCAGATCGCTTAATATTTTTTTTCCAAAAATATAAAGATAAATGATGTAATTTTTTTTCTTAACCATTTAATCACATATCATAATTACAAAACTCAATCAAATATTTGAAGTTTAAGTGGCCAACCACACATATTTCTTTCCACTTTACTTCGAACTTTACTGTCTCTTAGTCATCCACGCCCCACCTACCATCTGTTACTTATTTCATAGCTACCCATTTGAAGAAATGTCCCATTCTATTCTTATCTCATCTCTTTCTAGTCTCCACCATGGACTTCCATCATTCTATGCAACTAAGAAAGAGATCCCTTTATCATGTCATCTCTCTTCCTCTTTCCCTCACTAAGGAAAACTCAGATTAAATTGCTCACAAAAATACTGCGATACTTGCAAAATCAATCAGCATTCCTCTTTCCCATGTCATCTCACTTCTATCAGTGTTTTTCAACTTCTTCTAGTTCGATGAATTCCATGCAAAAATCATATTGCTCACATTAACATGATCCAAATCGCAAAAGAACTGCAATCCAGAATATAATTCCCACCCAGTTTGATGGATTAGGTAACTATGTTTTGAACAATAAGAACACACTTAATCACCTAATGTTAGTGATATCCTAATCATGATCAGTTCAGCTAACAAAGGAATAATAACTTGTTTTTATTTGGAAAAATCACACTTTCAAAGTTGAATCATCCCCTGTCTATGTATAAAACACTGAATACTACTAAGCAAACGAACGCTTTATGCAATGTCCATATATGAAAGAAAGAGGAGAAAGGTGGGTGAGACTGAGTTACCACAAACTTCAGGATGTGAGAATCAAGAATTCATTTAGACTTACCAATTGCCATATAAGGTTGCGCATTTCCTCTTTTCCTGCTTCTGTTGTCTTCAACCACTGCCACCACTTTGATGGATGCAATACCTGAACATATTTTGCTTCCTCCATATTTTCTTTAGTGGTATTATTTTCTGCTTCCTCCACAGTATACATAAGCCTTGACAAGGACATGCCCTCATGACAAAACACAAGCCAGATTTCATTAGATTGAGATTCAAAAGACTCTACATATCTTGCTATATGGTTCAAACCTTCTTCAAAAGCAGGTCTTTGGATTCTAAATTTGTTGGAGGACACGTTTGACCAACCATTCCCTAATCCATAACTTGGTTCATTTGGTTCGAATACGTAATTAGAACTAGATTGCAACTCTTCCAGTACTGAGCTTGTGATTCCATCCGATATTGGACCTCCGAGACATCTGGAAGCATTTAGAAAAACTTCACCAAAATATTTCTCCCGTAGACCACTTAAATAAACAGCAGCTCCTCTCTCTACCTGTTTACAGTTATCAAATCTTCTTTCACAAATTTCACCTTCAAAAGTTACCACTCAAAAATGGGACCAATATAATGAGATGCTAAAAAAGTAAGAGACAATAATTTCAAAAATTTCTAGGTGCATGAAAACAGTGAGAAACATTAACACCTCCTAAACCATCAACAGCTTCTAAAATTAAAATGAGGAAAAATAATAAGTAACTGATCAATTTAGAGAGGTTCTCAAACAAAGCAACTAGATGCACCTTTAGTCTGTCCTAGCTTAGGAGCATTGAAGCACAAACTGTGAAAGCAAACATTAAGATGGAATCAAATTAATTATCTGGAGTTAACTTAGTAAATCTTGTGTAACATGGTTCCTTCACTTTTCACTAGCATCAGGCAGTTGAGCCTAACCTTTTCCCGAACGAATGACCACATCATCAATGTCATGAATGCCCAGAAAAGAAACAAGATTTATATTGAGGAAATATATTCAAGGTAATAATTGAGAATAATAAGTACTCCAAAATTCCCAGTGAAAGTACTTGAACAAGCTCAAAGAAGGATTCTAGCTTAAGATTGTATGTGAGAAATGAACCATATGACTAAAAGATTTGTGTTGTTTTTTGCCCAATGTTTTCTTTTATACCAACATAGAAGATTTCAAACAGAGGCAAACAAGGAATCTTGGTCATAGTTTTTCATAGATGTTTTCGTCATTATCAAAGGGCAGAAGAGATGCTGCAAAAAATTTAATAACTGCAAGTCATCACTAAACAAGGTAAGGAATTAGATATAATGTCTAAGACACAGTTTCTGCATAAATCATGCATATGCCTGAAGCAACACAATCAGATCATAGTGAACATAACTCAATTTTGAAAATTACCATAATGCGTTTCAAAATGAACAAGTCATCGTCAGGAGAACCAGCACTGCAGTCATGGGTAGTCCTATGATCTGAATTTCTTCTATTTGCATTAAAACAATTCGTAGATGAGATATTTTCATTCTTCCCGGTCCAACTTGAAGCATTTTTATCTTCATGGCAATTCCAATAGAATGCCAGCCATACTTCCCCATATGATCCGCGACCAAACCGTTTCTTTAATATATACCTAACAACCAAAAAGCAAGATTAACTTAGTGATTTAATCAGAGAGAAAAGAAGGCATAGAATCAAGTTTGAAAGTGAGTTAGCACTAACTCAATAAAGGCAATGATTACAAGCACTGATAAAGAGATTGCTTAAGTAAAAACATGGGGCAGCAGCAGCACACAAGCACAGAACCATAGCACAGCTTATGCTAGAACAAGACATGACCACTCCAATTCCATCCAAATTCCCACCTGTCCGTCTCTAGTTTCTAAATTTGTGGCATAACAAGGCTTACAATCCAGCACACCTTGCTTTGCTAAAATCCCAAGCACAGTCATTCTATATAGTATATGTTAAGTGAATTAACTAGAGTTCAGCTGATTGGTCATAGAATTGAACTTTGCTCTTCCCATGTTGAACACTGGGAAGTTTCAATTTTGAATTGTCCCATTTCCACAATCGTCACAAAAGGATGGAAAAAATCAATGGAAGAAAAGGTACCTCAAGTCAGGCGTCGCATGCTCAGTTGAACCATAATTTGAACCAACATCATTGAAAGGAATAGATTCAAGCAAGCCAAGGAAGCTAGCAAAGACTTCAGGATTAGTGCATTGATCTTTAACTCCATCAACATTCATCCCAAAATGCAAGCAGAAATTCAGGTCATTATACAAATTCAAAGGTCCACCTAAAATAAAATTGAAAACCTGGAACTGGTTAATCCATGCAAAAAATATTATCCATCTATACACACACCCAACCAGTCAATACAAACTCGATACTATAACAATAATCACATTTGTGAAAGGAGTCTATTGGCAATTTTAAGATACCATAAACATTGTAAAAAAGCAGAATAGGACCATGAGACAATGCCACCATGGAGAACTTGGAAGAAAAAATTGACTACCCATCCACTATGGAAAAGAAAAGGTACTCAGATTAACTTAACTTACCATAATGGTGACTGAAGGCTCCGGGTAGAGCTCGAGGTAGGTCATACACATAATTTTCTTTTTCATTATTTTGAGCTTGCAGTGTATCCATATTGTCTAAGTTCTCAGACAAATAATAACATCCGAAATTCCCACGTCTTCCTTCAACCTAGAGGAAGAAGAAAAAAACAGCATTGTTTGCATACAAGAATCTGTCTCAGATCCTTTTCTTTCTCCATTAAATATATAATAAGTTTTCAAATCTTCCAAATGTAAGTATCAGACTTTCATGTATTCAAGCGTATGAATCACAACAGAAAAATAAAAGATATATACTGCAACCGTGATCTGACCAACTACTACTTGACATTACTTTGAACTAAAATGGAAACAGAGGATTAATATAACCAACCGCAACTAGTCTGAGATTAGGGCTTAGTTGTAATTGTTGTTGTTTACAAGTTAAAATGCATTAATCTTACTCTCCCACAGGGCAGAAAAGTCACTCCCTTGTCAGAAACTACATGAGTTAAACTCACTCAATTCAGAAAATGAAGATCTAACATCATAGATAAGCAAATATTAACAGCATAAGCTTTTAATGCCTTACCAATAACCTACATGAGTTAAACTCACTCAATTCAGAAAATGAAGATCTAACATCATAGATAAGCAAATATTAACAGCATAAGCTTTTAATGCCTTACCAATAACCTACATGAGTTAAACTCACTCAATTCAGAAAATGAAGATCTAACATCATAGATAAGCAAATATTAACAGCATAAGCTTTTAATGCCTTACCAATAACCTACATGAGTTAAACTCACTCAATTCAGAAAATGAAGATCTAACATCATAGATAAGCAAATATTAACAGCATAAGCTTTTAATGCCTTACCAATAACCTACATGAGTTAAACTCACTCAATTCAGAAAATGAAGATCTAACATCATAGATAAGCAAATATTAACAGCATAAGCTTTTAATGCCTTACCAATAACCTACATGAGTTAAACTCACTCAATTCAGAAAATGAAGATCTAACATCATAGATAAGCAAATATTAACAGCATAAGCTTTTAATGCCTTACCAATAACCTACATGAGTTAAACTCACTCAATTCAGAAAATGAAGATCTAACATCATAGATAAGCAAATATTAACAGCATAAGCTTTTAATGCCTTACCAATAACCTATACATCTGCACCTAATAGGCTTGAACTTCACAAAACAAGAATAGATTAGCATCACACATGGCCAATCAGTCAGTTGTTCACAATTGATGGTCTCAAAAAATTAGAAAGCAAGGATAAGCTGACAGGTTTAGGTTGCTCTCAAGCACATAAGAATCCAATGCATGATCAGACTCCAGATTCTTTCCATCTAGGAAATAAAGCAAATACTAGAATACTAATGCACAACAATTTTATCTTTTGTTAGAGAAAATATAATTCTTTTTGTTGTAAATTACTCATTTCAAAAGAAATAATTACAATGAAAACAACAGTACACGAGTGACATCAGGTTTTGCCATGGCCTCCATCCATTCTAGTATGAACCACCTTAGTCCTCATCATCTTATGCCAAAGTTGAACTAACTGCAAGAATTAGTCATTACTATTTCCATCTTGCTCTATCCTTAGATGCTAAAACGAACAGTCTAAGACCATGGCAAGATTTTGGTTTGTGAATTACCACCCAACTAACCATCCCTCACGCAATTCAGAATACAAGATCAAAGAACACCTCTCATCAAATTCTGAAGTGTAGTAGCAAGTCCTGTGGAAATTCCAAACAAAATTGAAAATCAGGAGCACTCGATATGCAACCATGGATAAGAGCAACACCAACAAGAGAAAAGCAAACCTTCCAGCGATTTTAACCTTTTATATACTTTTGCAACCATAGGGTTCCAGAATGATACCAACCTGACATAATGCCCGCCTTGTCCCAACCATTCTACTAGAGAGCCAAAATAATGATGCTGAGACCACCTTAATTTATGCACATAAACTTCTCAAGATACCCTAACTATTTTATTTTCTTAAATATTACAACAACATAATGGATAATGCTAAGGAAAATAAATTATTAAGTCACAATTCCCTAGTATTACCGACAATGATGCTGCCACAAAAAAATGATTCTAGTGCCCATATTGAGTCAACACAAACATCTTCAGAAAGTTTAGAGAAGAGAAACTTACCTGATTGCTCATGCATGAACTTCTTTAGTCCAAGAGATGAGCAATGTATGTCTCCGTCTCCAACACACCTCTCCCTTGGCGGTTTTTGAGGAATTTCAATATATTCTAATGGAACAACAACAGTTGCCACATTGTCCAAACTGCCCTTTTCAAAGGCCATGTTTACTAAGCATTCAGCTAATGAGCGTGAACATGGAGAAAGTTCTGATCTCTCACCACCATGACTGTGCACCTCCCAAAGTATATCACAAACATCCTGCAAACTCAACTTCTCAAACATGCCATCAGATGCAACCACTAGATATGTATCATTTGTGGAGAGAGGTTGCCAATCGGTCACTTCAGGTGCAGATATAACACCATAACTGGAGATAATTCAGAAACATTGAATGAGAAAAGCACATATAATTTCTTCACATTATAAGGAAATTGCAATCCAGCTAAGGCTGTTGGTTAACGAAGAGGCAGAATGAAAGTTAGCACGCTTTAATGTTTAGGTCGCAATAGGATCAAATTAGACATGAAGGATATGGCAAATTATTTAATTTTAGTGATCACAAATCCTACCTCTTAAAATACACATCTCCAATAGCTCGGGAAACAGCCAACTGGCCATTTACGCGAGACACACCACCCCACTCATTAACATATCCACCAGCATTTTCTACTCGAAGCTTTTCATCATCTCTATCTGGGTGATGATCTCTGGTCAATTCCTCAACGATAAAATATGCCAGCCCATTGGATGCAACTGATTGTATTCTGTCCCGATATCTTGCAGGTGAAAAGACACCATTGCGTCTCTGCTCTCCGTATAACCTTAATAAAGTGGCTGAAAATACAAAGACCATCAAATAAATTAACTTGACCATGTTCTCCTTTGTCAAAAATATTACAGTCCATTTTCAGACACGCAAAAACATTACACAATAGATGGACCATGAACCATTGACCAAGAGCACAATCGTGCAGGTAAGAGATTTTGTGTCTGAACTTTGAACAAATTGTACTGGGTCAAGATGTTTCTGACCTTTTGCCTCTGCAGGAGACTGGAATTTTTCAGAGCACAAAAGAGCCTTTGAATCTCCAATGTTCGCCACTAAAATTTGGCCATCCACTATCAGAACAATGGTGGCAGTAGAACCTGAATTAAAATTTTTCCTGGATGCTTCCTTCACAACCCAATGAATGAATGCCAACCATCAACATAAGTAAAACAAAGGGAATGCCATGAGTAAGGGGCAAGTAAAGTCAAATCAAAGTGAACCTGCCTTAGAAAATGTTGCATCAATATCACGGATAGCTCTCAACAATGCTTCCTTCAAAATTTCCAAATGAAAAGAATCATCAAAAATTTCTGGCAATGGAAAATTAAACCTGCAAAAACATTTTAGACTGCAAATTTAAAAAATTGCAGCATTCAAGATTCATGATTTAGACATCAACTTATGCAATAATGATACTAACATAAACCTGCAAGTCAAAAATACTATTTCAGATTCCAAAAGGTTCTGTTTTATGCCCGTGTCTTGTGAATTCATGGCTTCTGGTTTTCTATACTTTGCTAACATGAACAAGATATTGTCAATTTGTGCTGAACACAATTCTGATGTAAGTTTTATCAGTTAAAAAACAAAAAAAAAGGTCTGCAATTTTTTGTTTCGCATGATTATAGTCATTTGCCAATTTGGCATGACAAGTGAGACTAATACATAATTGGCCATGATAACAAGGTAGAAAAACTAACATCAATTGCTACCATGATGAAGGATAGGATTAGATCTTAAACATAAAATCAACTACCAATCCCAATAACTGACATTCAAACAAATATTGCTTCAAACAAAATTTCCAAATTCATATTTATGAATTGACTATAAAAATGCATTTTGAAAAGCACCTGTCAAAGTTCAGCTCATGCCAACCAAGCTCATCATCCCAATTTAACACCTGAAAAACAGCATCCTTTTCTCCCCTGCAAGGTAATTTTCCAGTAGATTTCTTCAACGCAAAAGAATACGTGGCATCCAATAGAAAATATGTATGCAAAGCAAAATACTCCAGCAACAACTTTGAAGCCATCTCACTAGCCTCAGCACCATTGTGACCATCAAACACTGCAACGATTCCAACCACAACTTCCTTAACCCCTGTTTTACCTGCTCCAAAATTAAAGGTTATATGTGAGACAAAACCTTACTATTTAAAGTACAAAAACTGTGAATCTGTGATCAGAGAATGTGAAATCATAAGGCACAAGTTTGTGAAGATGTTAATAGACAACACTAAAATTCCAGGTTCATATGCATTTGCATACACAAACATATACGATTTAAACATGAGAGAGGGAGATAGAAAGAGAGACCAGGAAAGGGAATGCGAACGTCCAGAGCACAAAGTACGCGGTCCTCCTGAGACTTCCTACGACCCTGAAGCATCGCCCATTGACAACGTCGGCCTCCGGAAGCAGTGGTGGTGCGTGATCGAGAATCGTACTCCGGGAGATTCCAGCGAGGGCATTTTGGGGATTGAAATACTGCCGGAGCACCGCCTTGAGTGTACACCATCAAACACGTCGACGTTTCTCCGCCACAGCGTCTTGTCGCATATACGGTGATAACAAACCCTAAAACTAATAGCTTCAAATTAAACGTAAACATAATTGTCCGTTGAATCAATTTCTCGATACTCACTGAAGTTTGATATCGTAAACATGAATCCGAGAAAGAAGAGAAATCAGGAAATGGAAAAAAAAAAAAAAAATGATTCGCGCGCTGAAAGAGAAAATCATAAGGAAAATAGGACAAAAAAAAAAAAAAAAATGATTCGCCGAGGGCCGGCTTTTTTGTTTTTTTTTTTATCGTTGTTCTAGCGACAACTAAAATAACAAATCACCCTCAAGCTTTGGGAATAAACAATCACGTCCAATAGGACAGAAAACGTCGTATAAAGCGTCAACGACACTAGTAACGGGAGGGCCGTAAAGCAATGCATGGCTGTCGTTCGGTCAAAACGACTTGGAAAGTAAGGATAAGAGGTAACCATTGGCGTTCATTTAGGTTCGAAGAGGAGACTCTGTCGCTAACTATGTAAATAAGACTTGAACCCCGGCGACTGGGCCTTGCCCATTAATAAGTTTTGTGTATTGGGTCTTTTTCCTATTAATCAGAGAAAATTGCAGCAACGAAGCGCACTTTCAGGTCCCACCACTTCTTTTGAAATTTGAATAAAATTTTTTTTTTTTTTTTTAAATAAATAAATTAGAGAATAATTAAACTCAATTACGACCCATTACTCGTGGCCAAGACCGCGCAACCAGCTCCTATCAGCATCATAAGACTTCGCGCGCTTTTTTTTTTTTTTTATCTTTGTTCTACGACAACTAATAACAAATCCCTCAGCTTTGAATAAACAAACGTCCAAGGACAGAACTCGTATAAGCGTCAACGACACTAGTAACGGAGCCGTAGCAATCATGCTGTCGTTCGTCAAAACGACTTGGAAAGTAAGGAAACGGTACCATTGCGTTCATTTAAGTCGAGAGAACCTGTCGTAACTTGTAATAGATTGACCGCGGACTGGGCTTGCCATTAATAAGTTTGTATTGGGCTTTTCCTATTAATCAAGAGAATTGCAGGCAACGAGCCACTTTCAGGTCCACACTTCTTTTGAATTTGAAATTTTTTTTTTTTTTTAAATAAATACATTAGAGAATATTAAACTCAATTACGACATTACTCGTGGCCAGACCGCACCAGCTCTATCAGCATCAATAAGACGTCTTGCTTCAGCGGAGGGAGAATCCAAGACTCGCAGTCCCATCGGGCCTGCATGAGCTTCGTTAGCCAACAAGTCAACCACCCACTGGCCTCTCTACATATACACCTTAACCACCCTCACCTGTCTTTCCAAAGATAACTGATCCTTACATGCACGTACCAGATTATTCTGTTAATCAACAAGTTATTCTGTATCGTATGTGATTGTAGGTATAAAAAGGAGAATTGCACTTTTCTTTTAATAAGTTATTTTTCAATGAAACATTTAAATATCAAGTTTAAAATGAAATGTCAAATAGAGCAAAATTTGGTTTGAATCTAATTAATCGGACCCATGTATATATAGGTTTAACCCACTATGAGACCCCAAGGAGTCTAGTACTTTCAAGAAGTGTGTAGAAGGTACCAAGTGGGATGGATGCATCTCATTGTTAATAATTTATTATTTATGTAATGGATATGGTCAGTCTCTGAGAGTGTGCCTGGGAATAAAGAATATTATCTTATTTAGAAGATAAAATAAAATATTTATATAATATTGTAAGCTGTGTCATGGTTCCTACATATTACATTTTTTGAGACGATTGTTTTTGTGCCCATATTGTACTTTTTCACCTTAACTGTCGCTAATGCTATCTATGACCACAACATGACAACAATTGAACGATATCCATAGATGATAGAACTTTCTCCCCAAAACTGCATACAACAATTGCATTTTTCTTAACTTCCAGAAGTTTCTTTCCAATTTTTAATGTTTTTCTCTTCTCGTAATAAAAAAAAATATTTATAACAGAAGAATTATTAATTGTTATTTCAGTTAATACGAGCATTGAATATAATAAAATAAAATGAGAGCATTATTATTTTTAATTAATATTTTTTAAATATTAATCATTTTAAATTATTATTTTATCTCAAAATATAAATGATTTTGATTTCAATGAACATAATGATTTTGTTATAACAAAACAAAATAAGATCACTTCTAAGATTGAAGTTGATAATGTGATCGCAAGGGAGCAAATGACGTAATAACCAACCAAAAAGTTTAACTTAATTAATGAACCACCATACGATAGACCTAATTACAACGTGTGCATGTAAATTAAAGAAATTTATCGCCTTTAAGTGCTTTAAAAATCCGCCTTGTACTTGTTGCATTTTGTTTCTTTCTTTCCATAAAAAGGAAACGTGCACGTTTATGGCTTATGCCTAACTAATTCTTGACCACAAGTCGAGAGAATAGAAGTATTCAAGAATCAAAGATTAGTCCTTAATTAGTCCATAAAAAAAAAAAAAATCATTACATTCCCTTCACACCTCGTACAGGAGAGATTGTCAGGTGTTTTGAAAGATTGCCTACACTACGAACTATGTGCAACAGTTGTGGACACGTCATTGGATGACAAGCATATTTATGGACAGTTATTATTAGTCTTAAGTTCACTTTTTTAATCAAGTCAAACAATTAAATATATTCCTGAGGTTTTTTTAATTAACAAAATACAATATCTTACATAAAAACTAATGATAACTATAAACTCAAATATGATTACAAACAATTTTAAATAACTTAAAAACTAAAATAAATTTGAACTTTATAATCATGGAATTTTTGTAATAAAAAAACTGTAGCAATTAAATGTTATTTTTATTATAATGATATTATGAATCAATTCATAATACGACAACAACTGAAAGAGTACATTCATATTTTCTTATTATTTCCAATTTGTTGTTAGTAATATAAAAATAATGGAAACTCCACCGCAAGATCTAGTACATTCAAGAAGAATGTAGAAGGTTTTTGTATGGATAAGTATCTTATTTTCTTAATAATTTAGTGGATCGAAGTTGTCCTTTCTGTCTAGATCTTGTGGGAGTAAATTATTTTATAATTTGAAAACAAATAAGATATTGTATCCTTTTGACCCCGTTGGGATTATTGTAATGTTAAATATGTTAATTTAACTGCAGTTAGTATATACAATTAAATATTATATAGCCATGACGCAGTGATTAGCGTCTGCTTAAAAAAATCTTTTTTTTTTTTTTAATTCATAAGAGTTCATAAAAAAAGTAATATATTTTCACTATTAATATATTTATCAAATAAGTAGATAAAATTATAACTAAATTTAAAAAGAATTTTGAGCATTGGTGAAGAGGATTCGACTGTAGATCTATCATTAGATCACATATAATTACATATATACGGTGTAGAAAAAAAAAAACTTGTAAGTAGATGGCGTACATATAGTTTGACGTCCAATATCTTTGCTTTTGTGGCTCACAATAATGATTTTTAATTAGATTTCCACATCAAGTGGGATATATCAATCACCACTTTCAACCAATTAAATTTAAAAAAGAGAATGATGTATAACTTGGAGAGATAGAAAATTATAAGATTAATCTCGTTTATTCATTTATGGATTTACACGTAATTAATGAAAATAAAAATTTTAAAAATTTTTTTTCATTTTATTTTTTAGAATGGTTAAAATTAATAAATACTTTAATTGTATTTGTTTGATCATAAATGAGTTGTAAATAAAATTTAAACAAATCAATCCCAAAATAAAAATAAAACAAGTATTTTTTATTATTATTTTTATTCCATCGACAAAAAATTGGTCCTACGCTACACCATGCCTCAATCCACCATGCCATTCTTACCCTTGTAAGTTCGAGAAGTTTCCAAAAGGGCCACTCACACACACTCTCCTTCTCTCCCATACTTGGCCAAATGAAGAAAGGTGCTAAAAACTAAAAAAATTAAAAAATTGTATTACGAAATATGTAATAAAAAAATCCACACCCAAGAACTCTAGAACTTTCTATTGATTTTAATAAACCTCATTTAGCTATATTTAAAAGGTTTGACGACATCTCCTTCCCTCCCTTGCTTTAGGTCATTAGAGCCTACCAACTTCGTAATGTTACAGTTGACCTTTCCCTGAATAAGAAAACAGAGCCAAAAAAAAAAAAAAAAATTCTACTGCAAAAACCAAAAAGAAAATGAAAAAAAAATCCATACTAGCTTTATTTTCTTCTTTTCATCCAAATCACTCACCTTTTTATATTCTTTCTACTAACTAAATTGTACGAACTGTTTGTCTCCAGAATTCAGCTTTGAACTTCCTGCAAGTCTCCTCTTTTCTTCCGCACCTGAATTACTTCACATATCAGTTCCATTTTTTTTTTTTGTCTTTCCACTTTTTGCAGTGCATCATTCTGTCTTGACTTCTATTCCATTCTTTCTTCTCTCGTTTTCAATTTTGTCTACTTTGTCTCCTAGTCAAGACTCAAGACTCTGTTTTTGTAACTTTTAAATTGAAAAAACTAGCATCAGCACAATTCACTAACTTCAACTGGAATTGGAACTATGAATCCATATTTCGTGGTAAAAGAAGAGTATCTAGGAGCGAGCTCGTCGCAATCCGGCGATGAGCGAGTGCCAATGGCTCTACCACCACAGCCAATGGAAGGGCTGCATGATACAGGACCACCACCATTCCTGACTAAGACTTTCGAGATGGTGGATGACCCAAATACCAATTACGTAGTTTCATGGAGTGCTGAAGGCACTAGCTTTGTAGTATGGGATCCTCACTCCTTCTCAACTAGTCTTCTTCCTAGATACTTCAAGCACAATAATTTCTCCAGTTTTGTCAGGCAACTGAACACCTATGTAAGTACTCTGTACGATACTTCTTCAATTACCTTTCTTCTTCTTCTTCTTCTTCAATTTTAGTCTTGTTTTGGAATTCTTAAAAACGTCCCCTTTTTTTCCAATGTTTTCTTATTAGCCTGAAATTTGGCTTGTCAAAAATGATTGGTGGGTTCCGTTCTGTATAATTAAAATATTGTTTATGCTTAAACAAGAGTGATAGTGGACAGCGGTCCTACCGTCAAGGAGATGGTTCTAAGACTAAGAGGTTCTGGAATGTTCATCCAAGTGAGACATAGATAGGAATTCTCATTTTCTCCTTGCCTAGAATGTTCATTTGAACTATTTCTTGCATTATTTTTTATAATCTTGTTTGAATCTTTAATTTTGTTTTATTTTCCCCAGTTGGCCAGTTTCTGGATATGCGGGCATGTGGGACCTTATGTATTTGGATTTTGACTGTGAAAAAAAGTATTTAGCATGATAGAATTAGTGTTAAACTGATATTTTTCCTGTTTTGCTCTGCTTTCAGATGTAATTTTGTAAATTAATTGTGTTTTTGCAGAACTTCATGATTGATTCAGAATTTGGAACTTTGTAAATTAATTCTGTTTTTGTAGAACTTGATGATTGATTCAGAATGTGGAATTGAATTCCACAGGGATTTAAAAAGATAGATCCAGATAGATGGGAATTTGCCAATGAAGGGTTTTTAAGGGGCCATAAGCAACTCTTAAAAACCATCAAAAGAAGAAAGACAACTGCTCCGCCTCTAACTCAACAGCAAGCTTTAGGCGCTTGTGTTGAAGTTGGAAGATTTGGATTGGACAGAGAAATTGATCAATTAAAGCGCGACAGGCAACATCTAATGATGGAATTAGTGAGGCTAAGGCATCAACAACAGAACACTAGAGCTTATATTCAAGCCATGGAGCAAAGACTACAGGGAACAGAAATAAAACAGCAGCAAATGATGCAATTCTTGGCTAGAGCAGTACGGAATCCAGCTTTTTTGCAGCAACTAACACAGCAGAAAGATAAAAGGAAGGAACTTGAAGAAGCAATAACAAAGAAGAGAAGAAGGCCTATTGAGCTAGGTCAAAGAAGTAATGGTGATTCAAGCCATGGTGATGGGAGTCAATGTAATATTAATACAATTAAAACTGAACCTCAGGAGTCTGCAGATTATGGAATTGGAGTTTCGGAGCTGGAAGCACTTGCATTGGAAATGCAAGGATATAGTAGGGCAAGGAGAGGAGAAGAAGAAGAAGGTGAAGAAGAAGCAGAGCCACCAGAAAGCGGAGACAGAGAACTTGATGACGGATTTTGGGATGAGTTGCTCAGTGAAGGTAATGGTGAAGGCGAAGAGGAAGAAGGTGTTGATGTATTAGCAGAAAGATTAGGTTATTTAGGTTCAAGTCATCAGTAAAGAAATCAAGCCCTTATGCAGATTGGCTGCTCATCCTCACCACCACCATCACAATCACCGATCATTGCCTAAATGATAAGACCTTACACTCCACAGTCGTTTTTTTAAACAAGTACTCAATACTTATAGTTCAGTTAATTAAAAATGCCATAAGGCCATAATTTTATACCTTGATTTCTTGGTATTGGCAGGAGAAATAGGGGAATAACCGAGAAGTGTACTCATGCAAAGAAAAAAACGAATCTTTGTTTCGGTGTTTCTAACCCTTTGTAGTTTCAATCTTCTTGTCCATTTTTGTCTACTACAAATTTAATATTTCTCTAATCTTGATTAGGTTTGAAGGTGTGCTTGGAACAGAATCTGGTTGCCTCTATCATATAAGAGGTTGTTTATCTTTAAATCTTTACAGCCAACCTTTTCTACATTCAATTCATTGGTTAACTGTCTTCATTTTTGGCCTCAAATGAATATTGTAGATTGTGTTGAAGCTCTGTAGAAATGGACAAGGTATCAATCAGTGGTTGCTGCAAAAGTTTCAAGAACCACACAATTAGAATCAAGTAAACATCTGGTAGTTATTTATCACAACGTCGGTTTCAATTTTTTACTTTTCATCTCAGCAAAAAAAGTTTTCTGGTCGGTGAACGAACGGTTTCTTGATGTTGCATCTTTCAACCATAAAGATATTTTCCGGGTCAAGTTATTATCAGTCATTTTCCCAGTAACCATAACCAACAAATGTGTGCGCACTACGTCTTCGTTGATGTCCTTATTACAGTACCAAAAAGCCATATTGAAAGGTGCTTCTCGTCCTTCAACCTTTATATGATTACGATGTAATAATATAACTGTATAAAAAGGAAATATTAAGAATTTGTGGTTATGTGACGTTCGTTAGGCATTTTCAGATTGATCTGTCAGCCTCAAATTCAGATTTCATTACTATTCAAGTATGATGTGAAATCTCCCAAAAATTGCATTATGGGTGCTGTATTCTGTCAATTATGGGACAAATGAAATGGTTTCATTTAGAAATATAACATGAGAACTTTGCAATCATGAATAACAGGAGATGGTCTGATTTATACCCTTTGTTGGTATATGACTAATTTAAATTTTAACATTTCTTTCAGGTAAAAGGAATATGTAGGAGAAAGATATCTAATGACTATACCTACATAAAATTATTTTGTAAATTTTAGAGGATGTATATATATATATGTACTTATTTATTATTTTATTATTTTTTTTAAAGAAGGATGTATATTCTTTTATATATTCATTGGGAAGGTTAATATTATCAATTATATAAGGTAATTAGCTTTGTCTTGGGACCTCCGAATTTGTGAAAATCTCTATGGTTGAGAAAATTTAAATTTTAGATTTATTCTCCATCCTATAGGTGAGAAAATAAATTAAATTATATTGAATTAAGTTCAAAAATATATTATGGAGAGAAAAAAAAAAGCATATAATGCAAGGGGAAAAAATGAAATTTATTCAATATTAAATAGTATAGTTTTTCAATTTATTATTTTTTTTTTATCAATTTGCAGATATCATAAGTCTATGATTATGAAATGCTAATATGAAAAGCAGGTTGAACCTTGTATTTTTATTTATAGCGTATAAAATATGCTAATATGAAAAACAGGTTCAACCTTATATTTTTATTTACAGTTTAATGTATGAATTTAATCATGAATTTTCAGCAATTAATCTTATCACTACCTGAATTTTCCAGGATATAATGTTTTTTCACATTTGTCAAAATGAAACAACTGTTCCGGAGTCGATGATCTTGTTTGCACTTTTATATTTTATTTACAAGAAAAATTTGTCAAATTCAGGATTAAATTTATAGGTTTCTTTTTTTTATTTATTTACTGATTGTTAATATTTAATTTCAGTCGTTTACACGCAAAAAAAAAAAAAAAAAAAAAAAAAAAAAATTTTTTATCAATTTGGCAGATAATCATACAGTCCTATTGATTATGAATATGTCTAAATATGAAAAGCAGGGTTTGAACCTGTTGTATTTCTATTATAGCGTAATAATAAATATAGCTAATATGGAAGAAACAGGTTGCAACCTTATATTTTTTAATTTATCAGTTTACATGTATGAATTTAAATCATGAAATTTTCAAGGCAAATTAATCTTATCACTTACTGAATCTTTCCAGATAAGTAATGTTTTTCCATTTGTCAAAATGACAACAACTGTTCCCGGGAGTCGAATGATCTTGTTTGCCACTTTTCAAATATTTTATTTTTACAAGAAAAATTTGTCAAATTCAGAGAATTAAGATGCTTTATAAGTTTCTTTTTTTATTTATTCTACCTGAATTGGGGTTAATATTTAAAATTTCGAGTCGTATTACAACCCGCAAAAAAAAAATAAAAAATAAAAAAAAAAAAAAAAAAACCGAACGTCGTCTGGGTTTTGTTTCTAGAATCCTAGGCGTAGTAATTACTATCGGACGATTCCCCGTTTCAGTCAAAAAAAAAAAAAAAAAAAAAAAAAAAAAACGAACGTCGTCTGGTTTTGTTTCTAGAATCCTAGGCGTAGTATTCTATCACATTCCCCGTTCAGTCCCGCCTCGCAGGGCAGCAAAAATGACGGAATTTAACCAGCAAAGTTTTCGCGATACGAGTAGTCGGTAATGCTAATTATTCTTACTTCATTTAATCTGAACTTAATCAATACTTCGATTTCCTACTTTCTTTTCGATGGTCAGCTTTAATTAATTCCGGTAGTAAAAATGCAATCAAACTCGTTTCAAAGTGTCCTGGCGTTTCTTTTTTTTATATTATGAAATCGTAATCTATTGTATGTATTAAATCCTATTTGATTTGATGACAAAAATAGTTAAGTCGTGGACGATAATATATCATTGCGTTTTGAATTTTTCATTCTGCTTTTGCTAAGTGATTACTGTTGAATTGGTTGTGTTCGGTGTTATTCACTAGTTTTCTCCGTTTCATTTAGTGTATTACCTTTCATTTTTTATTTGGTGGAGTTTGTGCAATGATTGTATTTGATCGACATGTGTGTGATTCTAAATGAATCAATTTCAGAATTGGTGTTACTGGGAGTTTAGGGTGGAGGCGAATGGTGCAAACGCGAATAAGTATTCCTCTCTCTATCGAGAAATGTTTAATCATCAACATTTAGCTTCTGCTAAGCTAAGATGATTTTTCAAGTTACTGTGATCAAGTAGTTTTATGTGTGATTGTATCAGAACTTGGGCTACTTAAAGAGACTTTTTTTTCACTTTTCAAGTTGTTAGTAACGTGCAGCATTTTCTGACATCTTTCATGGAGTTTGCTAGGCCAGAAAGATGGATGTAACTGAATGCCCAAACCCAGAATTCTTCAGGGCAAGTTAATATCTTATGAGACATCATGCCAAAATTCTAATTCATGAAAGTATACTCTAAAATGGTAGTAATTAGATATGCCACTTTAAATTTCATCTGAACCAAAAACAAACAACCACGTAAATATTTCTTGTTTATATGTTAAGAAATTAAAAGCATTACAGTTTAGGTGCTTATGATGATCTGTACTTATGGATCCACAATTTCCATTTTAAGCATGCATTTGCCAAAATAGTGGTGGTTGAATGATATCATTTTTGTTGTTTTAAAGGAAATGAAAAGCTAATTCTTTAATCGTTGCCATATCTTCTCTTAGGTTGCTGCAGTAATTGCTGAATCTAGTCAACACAATTCTGAACTTTAAGAGGGTCTCTCTTAGGAAGCGGTTGTTCGCCGGAAGTAAATGGTGGTAACTGTTGTCCTCACGGGTTTAACAGAAAATGCAGAAATGTCCAAATATGCAATGGAAAGAATCTAAATTTACAGTTGTTAACTTATTATTTATCCCTACTTGAGCATCATGATATGATAGAAAATGCTGACAATTTTCTAGTGCCTTGTTTGTGGGCTGTGCATAACTTAAAGCTTATAGTTAAATAATTTTAAAATTCTCATTAGTCCATGTGACTGAATTGGCTGATATTGGTTTTGTCTTTGTATGTTGAACACCCAGAATTTTGGAGCGACAACTTTGGGCCTGACTTGAGCATATGCCTGAAAGGAAATGGCCAACGCTCTAGCTTTATTCTTTGGGCCTGATTTGAGCATATACCTGAAAGGAAGACACTCGTTAAGGTAGAACAGATTTTTTTTCTTTTTTCTTCTCTCCCTTTGTCAAGAATTCTGTTTCTGCTAGGAAAATTGGGTTCTAGCAATTGCTGGAATATAAAACTACTGCAAAAAGTCCAGCTCTTTCAATCTTCTAAATTCTGGTAAAATTGGTTTGTCAGTAGAGAGACTTTTAGTACTCAAAAACAATTTCAAGTTTGTCTTTTCTTTACCCTTCAAAGACTTATAATTTCCACAATGTTTTGTAGAACATAACGATTGAAGTTGAAGTTCCTTATTTGGTTATTATGAAAACGTCCGTATATTCAAATTGTTAGGCTTAAAAGGTTGGAAGCATATGCCTCTGTACAGAGTGTAATGCAGTTTCACGTGCTAAGGGAATGATGAAAAGCTGGTAGTCTTGTTTGTGTTCCTGTTTGATGGGAAAAAAGTTTAACTTCGTACCTCTTTCTTTCCCTTATTTCTGCGTGTTTATTTGACATTTTTCAGTCAATCTACTTAGTCCAAGCTATGACTTTTCCAATTTCAGATTCTCAAATTTTATACTTATACATTGACCGAGTGAAATAAACTTGGAAGAGTCAAAGGGTCTCACATTTTTCTTAACTTGGTGAGATAAAAAAATGATCCAATACAATTTCTATGAAGCTGCACGAATTGGAAATTTCAGGAACTTTGAATATTGATCGAGTCGTGGCGGACTTAACAGTAATATAGGGGCAGCCAGGAAAGAGAGGTCCAAATAGTAGACCCAAAAGGAGCCAAAAATTTGTTAATCATATCATCATTATGGATAATAATATTACGTCCTCTGAATTCGTGGTCCTTTTCTCTTCTCATCCGTGACTACAAAACGGAACACGTCAAAATGTGTCTTTTCTCACAAAAAAAAAAAAAAAAAAATTTAAAAATAATGGATTGACCAAATGTTTGGAACGGGAAAAAGAAAAATAATGATCCTGTCCTCCTGCTCACAAGGTTCATAGCCTGTGCATGGTCCTCTAGGACTAGGAACCCATTTCATTGGCAAAGCCAACAGGAAAATCAGAACTATTTCTGAAGAGCCTAAAAATATTGGGTGAAATTGGAATTTAGCTACAATCGGGTCGGGTCCTTTGGTTGATATTTGAATAGTCTTAGAATTGAATAGTATGTAATGGAGACAAATTAAATAATTGTTGAGTAGTGTATTTGAGGATAATTGAAAAATAAAATAATAATTCAATTTTTTTTTAAGGTATTTTTACCTATGCTATCCAAACAATTTCCTTTACATTGGGTCACTTGCACAGCTTTCTGTTCAAAAGAGTTTTAAATAAAACCCTAAAGATGCGAACGGAGAGAGTTGTCCGACACGCGCAAGGTATAGGCGTGCGGGATATGAAAAACAGATTAGAAGGCAGAAATGCTCAAAAACGCACGGCTGGTGTCCTGGCTGGAGTGCTTTAAATGGACTATTTCGAAGTCTGTCTTGGAAGCACGTGAGTCTGACACGTGTACCGAGGTCGAGGTTGGGTCCAAGTAAGCACTCGTGATCGCATCAGGAGAGGAGAGGATACCCTCTCTTTCTAAAAAAAAACAAAAAAGAAAAAGAAAAGAATATTAAAAAGGACAACTTGATTTCTTACCTTTCTCGTGAGGTCATGATATAGTCCTTAAGGTGGGGTCCTCTTGCAGCTGCCACACAATCATCCTCTTGACTTAACCTCTTAACATGGGCCTTACTCTATGGGTTTCTGGGCCTTCTGATTTGATCACCAAAAAGCCTCGAGAATCCAAACACCTAGCCAACCATTTTATTTATTTTCCTTTTTTAAAATACTGATTTTGATTTTATTTGTTTTCTTTTTCAAAATATTGATTACAGAGTAAGTCAACTGACAGTTGACAAAGACCAGTTAATTAGATTATGGAGATCTCTCAGCTCTGTAATTAGCCCCCCTCTTCTTCATAAAGCCCACAAGTACTGACAAGGACTTCAACTGTTGCATTGCATGTATAGGGAATCATTGATCTACCTTGCCCTCAAAAAGTTTTGGTGAGAGGTCAGGCCCAATAAAGACTATTAAGAAAAAAAAAAAAAGAAATAAGGAATAGATTTTGGTCTGTATAGTAAAATTCTATATTTAGGTTAATAATGGGAATCATTGATGATGAAAGTTTGAAGAGAAGAACCTTTTTGGTGAAACTACAAGATTCAACGTTTGTTGAGTCCCATGATAAATGGAGAGGAGATAGGCCAGTAGAGTTCATGATGTTTATAAAAATATAATAATATGGGTTTGAATGGGAATAAGATGACCTTCAATATATACAATGAGTTCATAGGGCAGGGCAGTTGTTGAATGACCTTAAATAAGCAAGGTCTGCTTTTCAAGAATTTAATTAATTATGCCTATTTGAGTCACGTATAGGACTTCTTAGGGTCTAGGTATGGTGAAATTTAAACTAGAAGTTACCATGTCAAAAATTATATTTTCTTACTTAGATAAATTATATGAATATGCAAATTAATCTTAGGATTTCAGTATAATACAAATTCTTTTTACTCTACATCAAGAAAGGTTCTGAAATCTAGTGTCTTTGAAGATGAGTCTTGAAATTAAAGTTGGTTTGGTTGAGTTTATGCAAATGTGAACAAGAAAACAAATGGGTATAGGTATTAGGAAGTTTCACCTTTTGTTTCCAATTCCATAGAAGAAAATTCAAATGGGTATCTAATGGTAATGTATAAAACAGAGTCAGAAATCACAAAGTAGACGACAACAAGGGGACAAAGGATAATAACAAGTAACAAATGGGTGCAACACTGCAATTATGTGTTTTGTTGTGGCCTTCGGAGGTAATAAGAGAGCCAAAAACTGCATGAGAGAATCTGGTAATAGAAGAACCCGTGAAGAAGACAATATATGGCCCACTAAAGCCCTATTCTTTCCTTCCCACTCATCAATATGCCTCTCTGCATGCACAGCAGATAAGAAAAATATATTTATATTTTCTATATATGTAGTATTATCATATTTTTCCTTTTCTTTTCTTAATAATAAATTAATAAAAAGATTTGAAAAGAAAGTATATATCCATATATATACATATATCTTTAATTTCATATGCATATTAATTATTAGATAACTTTCTGGGATGCATTCATTTCATATATGCTTTTTATTTTTAGTAATAAATGGGATTTAATTTAATGATAAAAAAAAACCCTAACCTTTTACTTAAATTATGAGAGCTAATTGCAGTTAGTTGGTCTACTGTCTATTACAGAAATTTCTAATTAATAACACAAAAATCTGTGATTAAATTTGTTATCATGAGGGTTAGACAGATGTCACATCAATAAGATTATTGACCGCAATTTTCTAATATATATTCTTATTTATTAAATGGTGTTGGTCTTGATTCCTTGTTTTTAAGGAAAAACTAGAAAATGATATATGCAGAAGGTTTGCTCAATTTAATTACTGACGTCATGAATTTAATGGGTTTATTTGAAAAAAAAAAATTAATAGGATTTTCATAAATTGAAAATTAGATGATAATTAAACATTAGAATATATGATTAACTAAAAGATGTAAGAAAATTCTGTTTGCATCATCACCTTGTAGCTGATAGCTAGCTTTTCTGGTTTAAAGGTGCAGGAATGAATCGCTGAAAGCACAATTTAATCTCATCTTATCCCAAAAGAAAAGCAATATGAATCTCTCCCCGAAAGCTAAACTGATTCAAAAGATTATGTTATTGGATCAAAAGATAACACATTGGATTCCAAAGAATCTGCAACCACAAATCATAACTCTATATTATACATATATGTATATATTCTTCTAAAGCTCTAATGTATATGGAGATGGGTCCTTGTTTTTTTTTGCATGGTTTGTGTCTTTAAGCCGCCGTGATGAGTCCACGCATGCCCTTGTATGAAGAAAGAGTAATGTTTTGCTCGAGATGACGATTGTAGCCACTGTAAGTATACAATATTTTTATTATATTTGTTCAAGGAATTGAGGGATAAAAAGGTCATTTCAGGATATCCCTTCATGGCTTTAGATTTGGGTTTGGAATAAATTAAAAAGTTAAAAAAAAAAAAGAGAGGTAGAAAAAAAGAAGAGACCTTCCAAATTCTCTTACTTGGTGGGGTTTGGTTCAGCACTTTCACCATACACTAGGATGTGAGAGAATAATTACAAAAGAAAGAGAGACACAAAGGAAAGAAAAATCCTCAGCAAAATAATGGAAAACAAGAATTGTATTTAGATTCCATACACCAATAATAATAGAATAATATTTAGGAATAATTTACCTAAAAGTGACTCAATTGCTAAACTACAATTCAGTCCTACAAATAAACTCGGTAAAATAAAAAATTTTACACGCCATAAATCATTTATTAAGACACGCAGTAATGAATTCAAAACGAAATTAGTCTCATATTTAAAAAAAATAAATTATTTATAATCAAACTTAAAGAAGATGTAAAGTAACAAAATTTCTCATTTATAATCTAACTCATGAATCAAATCTGATAAATGATAGAAAAAAAAAGAAGATGATAGTATATATAAGTGCATTTAATAGATAATTAAGTTTTGATTTATGTATAATTAAGCTGAGAAAGACAATCAGTAGATCAATCATGTTAGTTGTGGGGTAATAGAGAAAAGGTTGAGACTCAAGTTCTTTAGCTTTGGCATCCTCAGAGCTTTTTGAGCTTCTCATTCTTCTCCTAAGCGTTCTTCTTTAATATTATGATTCTACTCAAATCAAGGTCCTTTTAGGGTTTGGGTGTTTTATAACAGGAACAAAGGAAAAGACAGAAAGTACCAACGTCACACACCAAAAGAAATAAAAAATTGAATTAAAGAAACAATAAAGAGAGTTGAAATTTTTTTCTTTAAAAAAAATTATTTCTATCTCTTTTTTCTTTCTTTCTGTATTTGTTATCATTTTTGGGCTTAATTGCTAGCTTTTTCTCTATCTTCTTTTCTTTTCTTCCCATATTCATTTATTTTTTAATTTCACTAATTTGCCACCCCCTCTTCTTTGGTCTGCCACTATAATCATCACTTCCTGTACACTAATATCTCGAAGACCCATCTACGGATATGTAATTTTCTTTTCAAAAACCTACACAGTGATATATAAAGAGAGAAAGGAAGCTAAGGTAAGGGTTATTGAAGAGGATTTAGAAGAAAAAAGGAGAGAGAAAAAAGAAAAGAAAAAATACTAACCATCTTATTGCAATTGTGTCTATTTTTTTTATACATGTTCTTTATTTCTTGATTATTGCATGGTAAGCTCTTAGATACGGTCTAAGTGAGAAAGATAGAGATAGGAAAGAGATATATCTAAATTGGGTTGCAGTATTGAGCAGAGAAGCAATCCATGGCAAGATAGCGACTTGGAGAATAACCCATCATCATCATCATCTCTTCACGAGATTTTGCTTTTGCTACCCAATGAATGATGCCTTTCTGTGTCTGTAATTCACTGCCACCTGTTCATTTATACAAAGCTGTGTTTGGTTTACTGGTTGTGTCCAAGGCTGGGATTCTCTATATATTTCTTTCTATTTAACTTATTAGTTACCGTCAAAAAAAAAAAAAACTTATTAGTACTCTTTCTTTCTTGTTGTTTCTTCAAAGTTGCAAAGTGGGCATTTGGAGAGAAGGGTTTAAAGAAAAAGATAATATCAAACAAACAAAAAAAGAAAGAAAGAAACTGTTCCTTTGTTTTTATTTTCTTGGAGTTTTCTTGTTCACGAGAATAAGCTTAAGCATGTTCCCTGCAGCCATGTCTAATTCAACTTCTTTGTCTGAAGAAGCTAGTGTCTCTTCTGGTAACAGAGTAGTTCAAGATTTTTGTGGCATAAATCCAGTGGTTAACCAGCAACAACAAGGACAGAAGGTCAAGAAGAAAAGAAGCCTTCCAGGAAACCCAGGTAATATTTTATTTATTCATTTTGGTTTAATTTAGCTTCGACTCCCGAATTCAGCACCTTGAAGATGAATCAGTACTGAGTCAAAGCCAGTCGATTACTGATTAATTAATTTCTGTTTAGATTTAAGTTTCTTTAAAAGTTTTAATATGGTTTATGATGGTTTTTAATTAATAACAGACCCAGATGCAGAAGTGATAGCATTATCTCCAAAGACTTTATTAGCTACAAATAGATTCGTATGTGAGATCTGTAACAAAGGTTTTCAAAGAGATCAGAATCTTCAACTTCACAGAAGAGGACATAACCTTCCATGGAAACTGAAGCAAAGAAACAGCAAAGAAATAAAAAAGAGAGCATATGTTTGTCCTGAACCATCTTGTGTTCATCATCATCCTTCTAGAGCTCTTGGTGACCTTACAGGTATCAAGAAACACTACTGTAGAAAACATGGAGAAAAGAAATGGAAATGTGAAAAATGTTCAAAGATCTACGCTGTTCAATCTGATTGGAAAGCTCATTCTAAAACTTGTGGAACTAGAGAGTATAGATGTGACTGTGGAACCCTTTTCTCCAGGTATATTCAATCTTTCTTTTACTATTTTTATTCTTTTATTTCTTCAAAAAAAGAATATACTATATAGAAAATTAAATGTTTTTTTGGTTTTTTTGTCCGAAATTCCCAATGTTCTCTTTCTTTAATTAAGAGCTGTTGTGATGTTGCACAGTTATTCATCAATTTGGACTTATATTGGAATACACTGCAAATATTGGTCTTTTGTTTAAAGTGGGAAGTTTCATGTCTTAAAGAATAGTCTTTGTATTTTGTTTTCAATCTGTTTTGTTTTGTTTTTGTACAAAGCTGTGCATGGAATATATCTGAAGCTTAATGTGTGTATTGGCAGGTTTCATATTTACACAAGTTGACACTATTAATACGAGTGTCTGTTACTGATGACATTTTTATAAGAGTAACTGAAACCTATATCTCTGAAAATCTGCACCTGCCAATAAGTTCACATTTGGAAGAGAAAGCCAAAAAATATTTAAAAGGAAAAGAATTTGAAGAGAAAGCCAAAAAATATTTAAAAGGAAAAGAATAATCAACTACATAATCTTTTGTTTTTAAAAATATTTAAAGCCAAAAAATATTTAAAAGGAAAAGAATAATCAACTACATAATCTTTTGTTTTTATACATTCTTTGTCTTTAATCCATACACATGTCCTCCTTTGCATTGAATGCATGAAATCTTCCTTTCAAAAAAACAAAAAAAAAAAAAAGGTTCATTGCAGTGGAGGTCTTTGGTTTTTCTCTTGAACTGTTTATGGTTCTTACTTTTACCCCTTTTTGTACTTTGTAATGGAGTGATACTACAGTCTCAAAATCAATAATGAATATCTCTGCCTGTCCAAGAAAAAAGTGAGCAAGCAAAAAATAAAACTAAAGTTGTTAATTAATTACTTTTCGGTAGTTCAGTGGCTGGAAAAAGAAAACCCGTGATAATTTTTTTTTTTTTTTTTTATGCAAGCATGCCATAATCTTTGTTGCAGAAACAAGACTGAAAGGATCTTGACCTGATCATGTATTATATGAGAAACTGATAAAATCTTGCCAAATTTATCTTGATATTCTTGATTTGCTAATTTTTTTTTTTTTTTTGTATGAAGCATGCCATAATTTTAGTTGCAGAACAAGACTGAAAGGATCTGACCATGATCATGATTATATGAGAACTGATAAAATCTGCAAAAATATCTGATATTCTGATTTGCTTTCATTTTCTTTGATATCCATAACAAGATATATAGGGGGTATTAATTGCATATCTTTGTTAAATGCATGAGCACAAGTTTCAAAAGCCATTTCTTATTTCTTGAAATTTTGAACCTCAGCATTCATATGTGTGACTATCTATTTCCATAATTTCTAGTTTCTCCATGCACAGTTGTATGCAAATCAATCGATTGCCTTGCATATTTGTCTATCTCTCTCTCTCTCTCTCTCTGCACTTTAGTTTTGACCAAAAAAGATAGTTGTTCTACTTTTGTGTTTTCTAGCTTTTTTGACAATCGTGTGTGTATCCATTCCGCATGCATGACCCCTCTATTGTTCCTCACTTTTCCTTTCCATTAGCTACAATGACATCAATTAAACAAGAGAAAAGGAATGGAATTACAGTCTAATCTTATTCATTTTGCTTAACCATTATTTCTTAGTGGTCAATTCACACTCATAATTCATCTCTGCCCTTTGATAGATGTTTCTTTTCTTTTTTATTAGATAGCAAATAGGTATTTGAAATATAGCCATTATACTTCATTGATTCTAGGAAAAGTAATTATCTTGTTATTATCTTTGTATTAATGGAGTTCATTAATTAATTGATGCAGGAAGGATAGCTTCATAACCCATCGAGCATTTTGTGATGCATTAGCTGAAGAAAGTGCAAGACTTTCAGCCCACCAATTAGTTTCTGCCAATCCAACGCACCAAAGTAGTCTTCTTCTACAAAACCCACAACCTTCTCTCTTCCCTCTCCATCATCAGATTTCACTCAACCCTTGGGATCCACTTCATCATCATCGTCATCAAAACCCTAGCAGTAACCCTCCTCAAAACCCGACTGTTCAAATCAAGCCTGAGACTCACCATTTCCAGCTACCATCGTCACTTCTCTTCCAAGAACCATCTCCCTTCCAGACCCTATCAAATCCTGCCACCTCAGTAGCGACTGCATCGCACCACCTGTCAGCCACTGCACTCCTTCAAAAGGCTGCTACTGTGGGTGCAACTCAGACAACGGTGGGTCATAGTCAGATGACCCAGCTTGACATGACTGAGTTGGGGTCGGCTGACTCGGTGGCTCAGCAGCATGGATCATCTTTCTTGGGAAATCTTGCCACGTGGCATAAGAATGATCGTTTGACAAGAGACTTTCTGGGTCTGACTGGTGATGCTAATGGCAATGTAGCGAATGGGAGTGGTGGTGGTGCCGCTGTTAACGTTAGCGTGAATGTGAGGGAAATGCTAACGTATACAGGGGGAGTAGGTTTGCAGCAATACGCTATAGAGAGAGACCACACGCTGTTGAAATCCCACGGTTTTGGATTCGCTCAGCCTCCTGCCTCTGAAACGTGGGGCGACTGCTAAGGGAAAAAGGGTAAAACAGTAATCCAGTTCTTCCCCATGTCTGAAACGACACAAATACCCTCACCCCTCCAAATCTACTCTTCTGGCTCTGTACAACCAAAATGAGTAGTAGTAGTAGGGTTAAAGAATTAAGGACCTTCTTCTTGTTATGTCACCTTTCGTCTTTTTATTTATGCTTCATTACAACATCTTCTTTTTTTTTCCCTTCCCTTCTTTTAAAGATTTTGACTCTTAAATCTCTAAATTAATGCTTTATTAGTTTCTCTTAGTATGGATTTTGTTGCTTTTAATTTTTTATTTAAATAATAATTAACGAGTTTTAGCTCAATAATATTAGAATTATCTTCAGTATCGTGAAATTTTATGTTAATTAGAACTTAATCTATGCTTCTGCATGCATCTTTATATATATATATAAAAGAAGTACACGTGAGGCATTGACATAATACAGCAAATCATCGCAGTTTTTACCATACTAATTTATGTATTTCACCATATACATTTATGAGAGACCTTAATGATAAAAAAAGAAACAAAGAATGTTCTGTTTATAATTAGAACATTCTTCTTTCTTTTCCCCAATTTTGAAGAATGTTAGATAGATATAGCTTGTTAGGTGAGGAAGAAAATAAATTTTAATTTTCACATGCAGAAATTTTATAGATATATATATATATATAAAAGATGTGTACGTTGCTAGCAATTTGAATTTATTGTAATTTTGATAAACTTAATTATCTTTCGGTGATGTCCCATCTTTATCTCGACAGCTATGGTTCACAGGACTATATTGCAAATTGCAAAATGCAAATAAAAATTTAATATATATGGAGTTTTGAACCGAGAAATTATTCTTCTTTTTCGTTGGTCATCACTTTTTTGTCTTGTTCGATGAGTAATGCCAAAGTGACTCAAAAGACAGCTAGTAATGGACCTCATGGACCTAATCCTAAACTATTATCATCTTCTAATCTTCAAAAGTAAAAATCTTTTTTGGGTTCAATTCTCTTTATGCCCATCATAACTTTAATCCATACATATATTAATTAATTTCACAACATATTCATAACTGTCTCCAGTAAAGCCTTCATCAATGCATTATTGGCTGAATCTCTATTTCTTTATAAGTTTAACAATTTTCCAATTGTTATTTTCTTGTTTTTTCTTCATTTCCATCACTCTATTTGTAAAAAAAAAAAAAAAATTAATGAAATTTGGGAATTTTCCCACGAGAATCTCATATTTTCTTTCGATAATAAAAATTAATCTCATTACAGTTTTATAGTCATTGCTTTTTATGCGTGCATTTTTCATAAGTCGAATTCACAACTTTATAAAAATCATCGCAATGGAGCTCCTCTTTATTATGTTTTTTATATGAAAACCGTAGATAATTTATATCTCTCATTTTTATTTATAAATGATTTAGTTTATTAAATGTATTTTTTATTTTAAATTTATTTAATTGCGTGCGATATGTACATACCCACAAGAATTATTGATGAGCTACACTTAATTTTAATTCCTCGGTCTCATCATTGGCATGTGAATTGTACTAATACGAAAATTTTGATAATGCAAATGGCCGGATACTTGCCGTGTATGATAGGTTTAGTCGTATCAAGAAAGGGAATATGTACATGCATGCAACGTATTTACGATTAAACCCTCCATAAACAAAGAAATGACCAAAGAGATTATTATAATTATAATTATTATAACATAAAGAAGAAGATTATTATTGTAATAAAGAAAATAATAATATTCTGAGTTGAAATACTTGCACTAAGCAAAGATAAGTAAGTACCAAACGAGGTACACATGTCGGTGGAGGGGCCATACCTAGTACTCTTTGAATTGACGATTGTGCCCTCCAACTCAATCTATTTCACACGATTATGGTATAATAGGTATGAAAAGTGGAAATTACAAAAACAGATTAAACTTAAACTTATTAAAAGGCAAAAATTATATTTTTAATAGGGGGCGGATGGGATTAAATATGTGACCTTCAGTCATCCGAGCAAAGCTTCGCTAACAATATTTAAGTTATCATCTTAAGAGTATGTATTAAGAGAAGCAAAAAAAAATTATTCCCTACTTAGGCCTATGATTCCAAGTACACCCAAATGATAAACATAAACTTGCAGCTGTCTAGATTGAAAAAGTCTATTTTGATTAAGCTGAAAAGACACAATTAATAAAAATTTAAGTTCAAATTCAACAGCTAAAAGACCTTAGGGGTTACCCCCACCTTTGATCTTTTGCTTGTCACTAACGGAAAAAATTATAGTCAAAGAGCCCTTTTCCTCCTTCAATATCCTCATTCCTCAACTGACCAATCAATAATAAGCTTTCAGAGTTCCTAAAATGAAGAATGTCAACACATTCACACTGAAAAATCTATATAAAAGAAGAGAATCACTCATGCTTTTTACCAAACAATATAGGATCCTAAAAATATCATAACCCACAAAAGAGGCAACTCAAATTTTTGTTCTAAATCCAATTGTCATTATCATTTCTTATTTGTTTATCAAGAAAGTATATTCCTGAAATTAACAATTAAGCAATTAGCCTTTTTTTTTTTTTATTTTGTTATCTTCTCTTCAGTATTGAAGAATGAGTAAGTATATAATTAGCAGTTTCCAAGAATTTCTTTTCTTCAGTCACTTTATGATAATAAAAAAAAAAAAAAAAAAAAAAAAAAAAAAAAAAGAAAATGATATAATTTCAAAGAAAAATGTAGCCTTTTTCTAAAGATGAGGTATAGAGGGTGTAAAAACCTGCAATAAGCTGTAGTAAAAAAGGTTACTAAGTTGATGTTGTTATTGTATTTGTGCAAGTGTGGTGGTGGTCCGATTCATATATAGTCGGTACTAAAAAAAAAAAAAAAAAAGAAAATGATAATTTCAAAGAAAATGTAGCCTTTTCTAAAGAGAGGTATAGATGGGTGTAAAACCTGCAATAAGCGTGAGTAAAAAGGTTACTAAGTTGATGTTGTTATGTGTATTTGTGCAAGTGTGGTGGTGGTCCGATTCATATATAGTGGTACTAAACCAAAAGGAAAAAAACAAAATTAGAAAAAGAAAAGAAAAGAAGAGAAAAATGTCAACGGTTATGAAAGAGATGCTGGATGCAACTTTGAAAGTTTGAATTACAATTTTCAGTCCTTCTTTTACTTGATAACCTCTTTATCAATTTCTGTGCTTTGTCCCCATTTCTCACAGCCTTTGCTTGGCAGCTTAACCTACAATTTTACATTCAAATCATTTCTTCCTTGCTTTGCTCTGCATTGCATGACCCACCAATTTGTCTTCCTTCATTTTCTTTTCCTTTTTTGTGATCAGCAATGAGGATTGATTTGGTATTACAATAATGTTAATCCCAAACGTTTGATCATTCCAGTATTTCTTTCTTTCTTTTTTTTTTTTTTAATTTTATCTTCTTGATATGATATAATATGATATTGCCACAAAAGAAAGAATACAGTAGGTTAAAGTGGTAAACGACCTCAATTCCCATAAATGTGAAAATACCGGTTAGGAAGGGTACTTTGCTGGGAGCTTAGAGCCCACCATGATGCAGTATTATGGTGTTAGAAGCAAATTTGCCAATTGAATGCATTATTTTGTTAATTGCTAAAGACGTTTATAACAGTTTGCAAGCAAAGAGAGCTTTTATATACTCAATACTACTTTGTATATTCACCATAGGAAGAGAGAGAAGAGACCTAGGGATCAATGAAAGGAAGGGTTGGGTATGTGGGTTTTGGTATATCGAAGCTTTTAGAAAGTTGGTGTGTTAGTTGCAGGGTTAAGGTACAATACATACCATTTTGCCTAGTAAAAAAGACTGCATCTTTTTTTATTTCCTTCTGCTACACAACCAGACAAACCAAAAGTTTCTCTACCATTAATACTCTCTCTCTCTCTCTTCCCCCCTTCTCCTCTCAACATGTTCGTTTGCATATGTCATCTTCCACAAGGGAATCTCATCCTAACAAACTTTCCTTTTCCCTCTTTTGCTTCCTTCCAGTCCTAATTATTACCAAAGCTTCTTTTCTATGCTTTTCTTTCTTTTTCCCCCCCTTCTGCAAATCCCCATGCAAGTAACCACACTCTTTTCCACAACCCTCTTGAGTATCACCATTCAATTTAGAATAAAGAAATACACACACACACACACACACACAAACACAAAATAAATAACATCTTCATTGACATTTTTGTTACTCATCTTTGCAAATTAGAAAAAGATGGTAGCAAGATTTCTAGCAAAGAAAGGACAAGTGAAGAAATCAAAATGACTATAATGGTTTCACAAGTGTCAATATATCAGTTAATAGCCATTGCAATGCACTAGTCAAGATAAGCTCAGAATATCATGTGCGGACAATTTCAGCCCTACTTGTGGTTAGGGTGTGTGGCTATGGTAACTTGGTGGGGACACTGTTTTCTAGGCATTCTTGTTGGCTTGACTACTCAAATGGTAAGCAAAGATAATTATGCTTTACCCAAATTTGAACTTGCAAGAAACTTTTAGGGGGAAAATTGCTATTGATGAAACAAGATACAAGAACCCATCCTATGAATGTGGCAGCATACTTATGCAATATCGATGGACCATTTTGGATGTGCCAAATTAGGGAACATAAACGTGACTTTCATAATTTAGACTGTACAAAATTCTAAACTATTATTTGAGCAAGTAACATTAAAGTCAAAAAACTTGGATTGTATGGCAAGTTGACAGGTGAGATGTACATCATCATTCAAAGTTAGCAATGATTTATATTTCTACAAAATTGGGATCACTCACGCATAAAAGTACCGATTAAGACAGAAAGCTTCTTCCATGGCAATGCGCTGATCCAGTCTTTTGATATCATCAGTGGGACCAACTCTCTCATGAAGTTGCATCGCTAAACGTCTTATCCAACTTATGGTTTTTGCAGATCAATCTTTACTCCCAAGTATTTGTCCAGCACATTCTTGAATGCCTGCAATAAAATTAAATAAATCAAAAATTCGAACTTATTTTTCTGTTGTATTTAAATCTCATGCATCAAAGTTGCGCAAGATATTATTCATCTTTTTCCTCTTTTTCTTCTCTTTTCTTTCGTTCCTTCTTTCTTACCTCTTTGATAAAGGAAGGAGCTATTAGAGAGAGAAACAGATAATAATACAGGTGAACCAAGTGATAAAAGAAAACCAAAATAATGATGATGGTGATGATGATGTAATAATTAAGATGCCAATGATGACACTCTAATGAAAGTCCTGTCTATAATCTCATCATCTTTTGATAATCATCAGTTTCATTTCAGCTAGATTCCAATGTCTAGAAAGTATTTATCTATGGGCACACTTAGAAGATTCTTATTGTCTGCCTGCATCAATTCAAAGATAAAGATGCAGATGCTGGTTAAATAATGGACCTCAAGTTCCCTCAAATGAAGATGCTGTGAAGATATAAAAATACAAAGAACCAAAAATAACAAAGGCTATGAACAACTTTATAAAGACTGTTCATTTGGGGAAAAATCGATGTGGTCAAAGCTGAACTGGCTCAGAAAACTATAATGAGAGCAGGATGGAAAATTGAGAGGGTTCAAACAATATAACTTTTAATTCAAGGAAAGAAAATTATATCCAAAAATATCTTGTAAGTGGGACTATGAACGTTATGATTCTGCATAGCAACATAAACAATGACACAGCACTAGCTTACCATGAAAACTTTTACTGAGAAGAATCCACTATTTGTCTAATAGAGCTCAGATAATGAATTCCTTTATTACTTATACTAGTGAACATGAGAAATGGTTTCCAGAGCTTCTTTGCTGCCAGTCCTTTAAAGTATAAAACCAGAATCTTTTATCCTGGCCAAGCAGGAAAAGAAATCATGTGCATTCAAACTTGCAAATCTTTAGCACTATGTCTGCCTCAACAAATTCCAATGACGGAACACCTTTGTCAGTTGGAGGAAACTAAAGTTCAGATAGCAAGGTACTTCACAATATGAGATACACTGGAAAATCAGAAAAATACCAATAACCTTGGGAAATTTGCAATTCTAAAAGAACTAAAAAGGTGTTTAATTTGTTAGAAAAATAATGTAGGCATAATTAAACTTTTCTAGTTTGTCTTCATAATGCCAATGAACATGACCAAATTGAACATCATGTGACAAAACAATCAAATGGTTTGGGTTGAGTAATCCCATATCAATTACGTACTTGTTATCTAGAGATAGCATCTGTATATTGTATGTGTATTTTCACCTACTATTTCTTTTTTTTTTTTTTTTTTGGATAACTCCAATGTTATTTATCCAGATTCTAGGTCTGTCAACAAACCATTGGTTTATACATTTTGAATGTATCATGGAGGAATGTTCTAGACATCGACTGTCAGAAAAAAGACAAATCATTAAATAGCTTTGCTTTGACTGAGGCAAGGCTAGTATATTTTACTTATATTAACTGAAAAGCATACTAGAGAGAAGGGGAAAGCTAGATTCTTTGAAGAAATGGGCAAAGACTCAACATTTCAAAATAAAAGAGTTTGTTCATTTTTCAATCAGAATCTAGGAAGCATTGTGTTTTCTCATGTGGTTCAAGTTGGATTTGCAAGTGAAAAGAGCACTTAATGATCCTATATCAATTAAATAATAAGCTTGTGAAAGTCTTGAATTGCACAGGCCTCTCTAATGACTAACTTAAACTTCTGGTTTGAATTCTCAAACATATGCACCTACTCTTATTTCTTCAACCAAGTGCAATGCAATATGAATTACATGCCAAATAAAGACTGACATACACATATCTTGAAAAGAAAAATGTATGTAGAATTCATTAGGTATCAAGAAACTATATAATATATCAACTTCCAAAAGACCTTCTGAAAATTAAACCAAATTTACCTGAAGAGCAAATGATTCTTTCTTGTTCAAAATGGCATCCATTGCAGCAAATTGATAATCAAATGTGGCATAGAAAACTTGGTAGAATTGGTTCCTGAAATTGTAAATGATTAATGATTAGAGCAAACTTGAAGTGGCTAGTTCTTTCTTTTCACAAATTAAATATTACTGTATAGTTGGTTTGTCGACAAATACCGTTCTTCTTCAGTGTTTTGTTGATCCATCTCATCAAATTTCCGTGTGAGTACTTCTGCTCCCACTGGCGAAAGCAAGTGTAGTATCAGAGCCTCCAAGGTTCTTGGGAAATTATGCTGGAAAAAAGAGTGATGTAACATGAACAATGTTCAAGAAACAAAAGGTGTATTGACACCAAGTGCTAAATTATCAGACTAATTTACATGGAGCTTATTTTGAAAGTAGAAGGGGACATGGGTCCAAACTCACCACCATAGCAAGGAGGACATTCTGAAGAGTGTATGGATCAAGAGTCCAAAAGATTTTGGCAACTGGATCATCCTCCAGGATAAATAAATCAGCAATCTTAAGATGCTGACCTTTCATGCTAACTGCAGAATCATCTACTGAAGTTGACTGTACAGATTGATTTTGGCCAGTTATGTTAACACGGTCATGAACCAAAGAAATAAGTTCATGAAGAGCGTGACGAGCAAATGGTTCTGACACATGCAGATTAACTCTCTGCTGTTGGTCTTTCCCTTGTAGATTCTTTTTTTCACATGCCTGGACCAAATCGCTGTGATTATGATCTGGTCACAAAAGACTAAGATCAGTCACTAGAAATCTGCTCAGAAAAAACGTAAGCTGGAAATTCCTTTGCATAAAGGAAAAGGTTGTAGAACTAAATAGGACCTAGTGACATTATGATAAAACTGACCTTCCTCTCCATTTCTGAGCAAGTTGAACTTGAGTATCTTTTGTTTCTCTATGCCAAGAGAAGAAGAAGTCTTCTGGAGTGCATCATCCTGTCCTAATTTCAGGTATAGTTTATGTGCTATGGTGTTTTGAAAATAAACTTCTAATAGGAAAGACGAGTCATAAGCAAAACACGAAATGCAATATAATTGAGTCCCCAAAGTCCATGAATAAAACAAAATTATAAAATTTCCAACGAATGCTCATTGGTCATAAATCTAAGGAGTCCACAAGGATCTTAATCCTGAAATTGCCAGACTCTTTTCAGTCTATCCTCAATCTTGAGACAGCATTTAGTACAAATTTATAATTGTTAGGTTAGAATTGACCATATTTGCTAAGATATCAGCCAGTAACCATTTTGGAAAAACTTTTCTTTCAGATTGACTGGAGAAGTATGACTGCGAACTCAAATTAAAGGAATTGATCAGAAATACAAAGTTACAACCTAAAATTAGTAACAGTATTTTCTGTAATTGAATTATCAAGTTTACAGACATACCATTTCTTTATCTGTCAATCTTGGTTTCACAGCATTAAGTAGCAAAGCATGCCAAAGAAACAAAATCATATAATCAAGTTAGCTTGCTGGACAGCTATAAAGCTTAAACTTAAAAATGATTATTAAACAGTTTCACAAGAAAAAGCAAGGGAGAAGCCAGAAGTAAAAAAAAACAAAAAGGAAACATTCCAATAGATGATGAAAATAGAGAGAACCTTCTTAACATTCTCCGTAAATAATAAGCATCCATGTGGTTTAGCATGCTAGCCATTATGTTGGAACGCCACCAAAAGTTAACAGCAATTGTCAAATCACCACTATCTACTTGGTGGAACCTGTAGCAACACAAATAACAATCATCTAACCTTGTGCTATATGCTATAAGTAAGTTGAATCAAGAAGAAAATAAGGCAATCAACTAAACATATAGAATCATTCAGCCAATTTATTAAGTTTCTGACCAGTAACAACTGGTGAAAGGTCAAATAGCCAGAACTGGAAATAAATATTAAGCACTGAAGGTAGAGAAAAAAATCAGTAAGACAATTTTCTGGCAATAATTGAAATATTTAAGTGATTTCATATAGTTTATATTTGCAATGTCTATTGGCTAATATATTAATTAAACAAAAGCATATTCCGGGGCATTATGCTTCAATGAAATGGGAATTAAAACAAGAAGCAAGCATATTTGCTATTGAATTGATTGCTTTTGTTTATGAATTCGAAAATGTTGTACTTGGATTCATTTTTGTCCCCAAGTAGTTTGAAGATTTAACTAGTCTGTTGGAAGGACAAGCTGAAAGATAGATCAGATCACTGATGTCAAGGGCTAATAGATCATATTTCACCAGAATTTTCACCTTCTTGTCCTAAGTGTGATTATCTGGGATGTTTCATCCTTCTGTCTTCTCTTTTCTTCATATTCAGTTATCTGTTCAACCATGAACCTAATTCCTCATCCACAAACATATAGACCCTGAAGACACTAAATATTGGTCTCTATCTAGGCCTACTATCTTCATATCTTGTTCTGAATCAACAAGTAAATGATGATACTTTATAATTATCCTAATAAAACAAAGAACAAAAGCATGAAAAGAAAAGGCACATATCACCTATTGGATTTCTCTTTAATTTTTTTAAAAAAGGAAGAAAGTTCCATGACAAACTTGAATAAAAATGAGTATAATATCAAGCTTTTGGCGGACAAGTAGCTATTAGAATCCCTGAAGAAGGCACAATTAAAATACAAACAAAAAAGAGCCCCCAAAGTTGACTCTTGACTGTATAGCAACATCTCGCCTTGCAGAATGCAACTGATACATGGGATCCTCAGTTGAAATCCAGGCAATAAGGGTGAAGGAATGGGTATTTGATGGCCAACATAATAATAATAATAGATAAATAAATATATACATAGAGATATAGATAGATGTAGATAAAAATCAGAAAAAAAAGACATAAAAAGGAAACTAAGGCAATTTCTTCAAAAGCACAATCATTTAAACCTTACCATCCTTCAGGTATGAAAAGTGCATCACCTGCATGAAGAATAACCTTCTGAGAGTACTTCATGGAGCATTCTGCTCTTGGATAGAATGAGAAATCAGGGTTTTCTAAAGCAACAGAACTGACAGAGAAAAGAAAAATTAAAAGGGAAAAGCGGAATTAAACAACAAACAGCATGCATAAAGATTATTGTCAAAAACAATGCGGTTCCAATAGCTAATAAAATTAAGTTTTTCTTTTCTACTCTTGCAGAGTGAAGATAAGATAGTAACCGATTCAGTATTACAATATGAAAGTGGCATACCTGTGGTTTGAGGCTTCCCCATATATAGGCATTGGGTATAAAAAAGGAGTTGCAGACGGAGGCCATAAGACAACTGCAAGAAAAAAAATGGTATTGAATGAAAAGAAAGAGAAACAAGCTAGTTATTCTGCATGGTTATGAGCTTAACAATAACATCATAATAAAAAAACAAATAAAGTCAAAGTTAGATACCAGACTAAACTTTTTTGTCTTCCATTTTTGTCTTTCTTTTGACAATTAAAGCATTTTCTAACTCCTAAATAAGATAGCGAAAAAAATGATTCCAAAAGCTGAGAATAAAAACTATTAGTAAAGAAAACGAAAATGCAACTCTTCGACACAAAGTACCTTCAACCATCAATCCTTAAAGTAAAGGCAAGAGAAAAGATGTAAGTATATATGATGGAAGCATTAGCAACAACGAGGTGAAAAGTTTTCAAGTTTCTTCAAAAATAATAAAATGCAGAAAGTGAATACCAGCAGAACCATATAGAAATAAGTTGCATATTAATATAAAAATCTGCTAAAATAGTAAAATGGACAGTGAAAAAAGAAAGCAAGCGTACCTTGTTTGTAGCCAGCAACTATGCATAAAATGTTATGATGTGGATCATAGTGAGTACTTGATCTAGCATAAGCATTATTCATCCACAAATTAATAGACGCTAGTTCCTTTGTCTCCAAAATAGTAGGCTACACAAAGTAAACAACCATAAAAAAGTGGTTCTTCAATGGAGAGCATGACAATGGATTAAGGAACACCAAAGTTGAAGAAAGAAAAGTGCAAACCATTTGAATGTCTTCTCTAAGAGTTCTCAGTTGAACTTTCTCTTGATCATCAATATTCATAATTGGCACCTAAAATACAAGCAATGCCCACTATTACCTATCACACCGTGCACTCAATCGAACACATATTAATCAAAGAAAACAGACCAAACATCAAGCAGCCACCAAGTTCAAACCTGGGCCAAATAAATTTGTTCAGGAGCATCACCAGAAAGCAAAGGATCCTGTTCTTCTGCTTCAGAAACAGCAGGCTGGTGCCTTTCTGTGTTCACCAAACGCTGCTTACAAAAATTGATGAAGGTAGAGAACGGTAATGGAACCTAAAACAATAAAGAATACAATATAAGACAGATATCACTTGGCTCTAGACGCAACAAAACGTCACGGAATTACCCTCTCATGGCTTCTAAGATCACCATAAAAGACAGGTGCAGTTCTGGACAGCATAGCTTCAACTTTAGATGATCCTGCCCGTTCCTAAATTTCCATAGCTCAGTTCATGAACGGAAAATACTCGAATCAGATAATCGTTCAAAGTAATTTATCACTAGAAGGAGTAGTATTTGAATAAGAGAATACCTGCAAATAGTCAAGGCCGCCGTTAGCCGGATTCCACTTGGTGAAGGCTTCCCATTCCTTAATGCATCCATGGAACACCTTTTAAAGAAAGGAACAAAAGGTAGACCAGTAAATGTTAAGAGGCAAAAGACCATAAAATTGGATGGAAGTGAATGTTAAGAGCCTTACTGCGGGAATGTTTTTGGATTCAATTTGAGAAGCGAAGACTGCAGGAGAAGGAAGCTCTTCGAATCTCTGCACTTGCAATTGTATACTCTCCTCCCTGTCCATGGCGATTTTCTGTGCTTCTTTGTTTGTCAGCCTGATGTGTTGTTAACGTTACTACTTAGTTACTGAGTGCTTGACTCGCTCGACTCACACGCTCGTGGCTGAGTTATAACTGGTAATATGGTCGTTAGGGTAATTCAGGGACGTTTCTAAGTAGCCCAAGGCTTCACTTATTTATGGGCCCATAAATGGCTTATTTATTACGACAAATGGTTCGATTACTGCAGCAGGCTCCTGAAGGCCACCTGGACTTGGACCAGCCCGTTTCCATTGACAATTTTATTTTCTCGTTTTCTCTCCCCATTATTATTACCAAAAAAATGAATTATATACTTTTAAATTTTTAATGTATGATTTATGGTGGGAACATTATTGGTAGTAATAAATTTCATTAACCTTGTACTACCTCCGTTGCATAATATTTGTCACATTTGAGAAAATAGTTTGTTCCAAAATATTTCTCACATTTATGGTTTCAATAAGTAATAAATTCATTTTTTTCATATTTACCCTTTATATATGATCAATAATTATTATTTGAATTTAATGGTTTATTATAAAATTAATATTAAATTAAAGGTAATTATATACTTTTAAATTTTTAAGTATGGGATTTATTGGTGGTGAAACATATTGGTAGTAATAAATTTCATTAACCTTGGTACTACCTCCGTTGGCCAGTAATAGTTTGTCACATTTGAGAAAATAGGGTTGTTCCAAATATTTCTTCAACATTGATGGTTTTCAATAAGTAATAAATTCATTTTTTCCATATTTACCCTTTATATTGATGATCAATAATTATTATTTTGAATATGATCAATAATTATTATTTGAATTTAATGGTTTATTATAAAATTAATATTAAATTAAAGGTAATATAGTCAATTTATTCAATAATTTATTGTAACTTGGACAAATTTAATAATATTCTTAAAGAGCGTAATATTCTAAACAGGACAAATGTTAAATATAATTATTCAAATGATAATTAGTATTCAAAACGATAGTTCATATCACTAATTTAGAAGGTTACTTTTTTATTTTAACTAAAATTCATCAAATTAAAAGATGGTAAATGATAAATTGATAAAAATATTTTTTTTCTTCTCTCAAAAAAAAAAATATTTTCTTTCTCGATTTTCTTTTTTTGTCAAAAACAAATTAAATTGTTATCATGGTTGGTGAGATTATAATTGTATTAAGAAAATTTTAATTAAGATTTGAGTTCAAACTAGGTCGCCATTTAGTCCGCGACTCCCGCGCACTCTCACGTCAGAATAATCCAATGCTGGGCCCGCTTTCACGCGGTTTATTATGTTGAAAGCCGTGGTCCCACGGCAATGGGCCCTTTCTACAAGTATCTCCTTTCTTTTTTTTTTTTTCTCTTTTCTTGTATTTTTGTACTTGCTTACAGACTTACTTTCAATTTCATTATGTTTATTCATGCATTAATAATTCATCATTCTAACTAAATTTTTGGTGTATCAAAATAAAAAAATGTATACAACTTTACATTTAAATTCATAATGACATGCTTGTACGATGTTTTAACATTTTTTCTTCTTTTTGGCAAAGAGCAAAACTATAATTTTAAGTGTACATTGAGAGGTCAAAATAAAAAAAAAAAAAAAAAAAAAAAAAAAAAAAGCAAATCAAGGGTTTAATATAAATACTTTTCAAAATATATTCAAATTTGAAACTTGATTTATTTATATATTTATAATTAAAAAATAACTTTATTTGATACGCGTTCGAACTAGATCTCGCACTTGATTACTTTTGAATGAGCTTGATAAATAGGCCTAAGCTCGAGTCCGAGCTTGTAAAGTTATTTATTACCAATAAATGTGAAAAAATACACGAGAAGAAAAATTAAATTATTCAATTCCAACTTACTGTGACCGTATATTTATTTTTTAGTGGTTTGTTTCACTCTTTGTTTTGTTTCTTATGTTATTTGTTTGAAAACTATTATTAATTGGAATATTGGGTTAATTTTTCCATCCTTAAAGTGTCAAAAACAAAATTGATTAATGTACTTTTAACATATAGCTCAGGTCTAAATTTTAAATTATTGTTATTTTCAAATCACCTTTAAATCATTAAATTCAAACTAAAACAGTCATTTTTTTTTTATCTAAGAACCCGGTTTATTTGCGCGGAAAATAAAATTTTTTGGTAAAATATTTTTTTTTTTTTGATTTTTCGTTATGTGAAAATTAGTCAAGAAATTGTCGGCGTTGGTCAACCTGAAAAAATAAGTTGAAAGCACGAAAAATGAATGGAAATAGGAAAAATATCTTATTGTTGGAGATGACAGAAAACATTTATAAAAAGAATGCAAGAGAGTGAGTTTCTTTAAAGTGCAAAAAAACGTTTACAGCTACCAGAACTTTGAATCTCAAACTCTCCACGAGCAGCTAAGCCTGTAAAATTTGATTTAGATATAGCCTTCAAATCCAACTAAACCGATGTATGAACGAACACCATTATCGAGCACCAAGCTTGTTTCGCTAATTGAGGGATTTTGGTGCACGTACTGATTCATGTCTTAGCGTTTTGCACGCACTCTCCTTTTGAATTGCGATGGAGGAGTAAAAAAAAAAAAAAAAACTATTGAAGGAATTAGATGATGTTAGGACGGAATCACAAACTGGCGGGAGATTAGAATTCCAGATATTCACAGCTGACAAGTGCTAGGAACCATTGATTAGTATGTCATTAAAATCATAATGGCCCAATTTACGTGTCGACAGCTCACAAGTCGTAAATAAAATATTTTAAATGTCACTGTATTTTTTTAAAAAATTGTTTTTTTGGTTTTTAACCCTATTTTGCTTTGAAGTTTAGTCTTTCAGTATTGATTTATATTATTAGGGTCAACATCAGAATTACAAAGTTTGCCAATTTTTAATTCTCAAGTTAATTCAAATCAATTATTTTTATATGACATTTTTTCCAATTCAAATAATTGTGAAAAATGAAAATGAAAAAAATTATATTTTGTACACATGATAAAATTACATGAATACAACATAATAGGATTTTTAATTTATATTTTCCGTCTTGACAACGTGTGGTTTTGAATCATTCAATTTAAGAAATATTATTCTGAATTTATTCTTCGGATAATAATTTAATATTATGATAAAGTAATTCCACATTTCATTTAATCATTCTAAATGAATATTTAACAATATTTCTTGATGCATATTTGAATTTAAAATTATTCTAAATGAGATAGATGGTGAGGTTAGGTTCATATTGAAATTGTTTTAGAATAACGTTGCCTTTTACAATTTTTATGATGATTTTAATTAAATTCATATGTTCAAAAAATCATTAAAATTACAATTATGAAATAATATAGAACTTAATCTGCCAGTAAAAGCCTAAAAACTTAAATACAATGTTAATATATTTCATTGCCATATCATAGTTTAATTGGTTAAGTCCCGATCCTCTAAGCTAAAAAATTATAAAATTGAAACTCAAAAAATTCATTGTAGTTATTTTTTCCACGTAAAATTAGCTATTAATTGGTTAATATTAATAATTTTAATATTAATTAGTCCAAAAACCTAAGTAAGTTTAGTCACACATTTTCATATGACGAAAATTAATAATTTTTTTAATGATCACAATTAGAAAAACGTGTAAGTAATGATTTTTTTCAATTTTCAAACATTTACATTTAAAATTATACCTTCCACATTCTATTTCCTACATAATTTCAAATATTAAAATTAGTAATTGGAGCATAAAAAATTAGATTACGATAAAAAACGATAAAAAGAAATCATATAATATTGCTCATTGATTATTGTAACTTTTTTAACTTACTAGTATTTTTTATGACCGGTGTGTTGCACGTTGACCATGCTCGTTATTATTTGTAACCTCTTTAATTTTTTTATCCCATTATTAATATTAAAGTATAAAATTTTTGTTTAGATTAAAATAAAATGATTACTTAATTTGCATTGGATTTATGGTATAAGTTAATTGTTATATTTTACTTATTATTATACTTAATTTAATTATTTTTTATTAATGAAATAGTCAAAAACAAAGGGTTCAACGTCATCTCTATACCTAATCCGTTAGTCACTAATTTATAAATGCGCAGATTGAAAATTTTATAAGTGCTTCAAAAAGAAAATTAAAGCCATCACTTCCAACCTCATTGCTCTCAATCCCAATCCAATATCTACCATACAACTTATAATAAAAAAATAATAAAAATTATTTTAATGCTCAGTAAATAAAGAAATGAGCAGATGATCTGAATTGATGACGAGGTAATTAATTTTAGCTATAATAACAATATTACTCACCCAGTGGCATCAGAGGAAAGAAATTTATTAATTGGGGGGCCACATACATACAAATTCTTGAAATCCCAAAAAGCGACCCAAAATGAAATTGTATAAGTTCAAATTTTTTATTTTTAGTTTTACAAACGCTAATTTTCTTTCGAGGTTCAAACAGATTTAAAATATTAAAGAAAAATATTAAGAAAATTTAAAATTATCTAATTATCATTGGTCATCTATTTATTGCAAAGTGAGATATAAATCTCTTACTAAATTAAAATGCAACAGTTTATAAATTAATTTCAGTAATGAAAATAAAATAAAAAATTAAAAAAATTATGTTTTGGAATATAACTCTTTTCAAAAACTCAAAATTATAAATAAAAGAAAAAAATATTATATTTAAAAAAATTACCAATTTGAATTCTCAAAAACCAACCCTTCTTTTAAGTGGAAATGTTATAATTTATGAAATTTTGACGTTGATAGACAAAAAAAAAAAAAAAAAAAAAAAAAAATATGCCAAGTTATAATGGTTACCAATTCTAATTTGTTTCTCTATTTTAAAATTGCAAATGTAAAAATAAATAAAATTAATTAATTAATAAAAAAAGATTACGTAAAAGAAATTTATATTCTCGTTAAGTAAAATGCCCTCATTTTTTTAAGGGAATAGTATACTTTATCTTTTTTTATTATCTATGACGTATTTAATTTAAAAATAATTTTAAAAATATAGTTCAATTAAAATAATAAAAATATTTTTTTTCCCTTAGAACCACA